AGAAGGCTGTTGCTGATGGTATCCGGTCAACGGATATTGAGTATCTTGCGTAGATAACTATCTGTAAATACTTGTATCATTTTGACGATGGTTGTAATAGTTCTCCATTTTTCAGTTCCGTACGGTAGAACTGACTTGACGTTCGCATTGAAGATTGTGATTTTGATGTTGATTGAGAGTTGTTTTGAGTTCCATATGCTGTCCTTGCTTTGCCAATCCTCGCCTTTATATCTGCATCTGATCCTCCATGTTCATCGATGATGCTTCTCAGGTATGTGAAAGATTCTATATCTTCTAGAGTTTCTACATCATAATTGATTGTGTTAGCGTTCTCCGTGTTGTATTTGAGGATCTTGCTTTTTGAACATAACAAAAACTGTTATATCTAGAAGGTTGTTTACTTGATATACCGCATATAACTGAGCACTAGAACGCCAAAACCCTTCAAAGTTGCAAGGAGAAGATAGAAGACTAATGAAAGGAATATTATTCCAAACAGTGTCAATTATATTACAAAAGTGTCAGGTATTTATAGTTTTTAGTAAGAACAAAAATCATCATTATAGTCCTCCAATCCGCATACAGGGGGTCATTAGCCTTGTCCAATCAGGAAGCTACACGTAGGAATTCTAGAATATTCTTCCGAAAGGTGATTGGATGGAATATCTTCGGCTTCTTCTGAGCCTCTTACAGCTTCCTCGAGTTCATCCATGGTCCGTCGCCACAAAAACATATTACAAAAACTTGTTTTTACATTATATAAACAGAAATAATGAAAAGAAATTGATCAGTTTTCCTTTCTTCTCTTTTTTCTTCTTCTTATTGAATATTTAGCAAGAAATGTCTGATACACATCAGTCTACCATACCATGTGAAATAACAAGTGTAGCTCGACACCAACGATCAATTGTAGAACAACTTGGTGAAATACCTTTGACATCTTTAAGAGTATAAGATATGTATTGAATTATCTGCATATTGTAATATATTTGGTTTGATATATGATTCATGTGAACTATCATTATTACTGTAATAAATCTCAAGAGATTGTATGAGTTAACTTATAATATTACCTTTAATTCTATTGTTATGGATTTGTAATTCTCATTAAAACGTATACACTAACACAAAGAGAATCGTGGGTAATAATGGAATCAGTAATGGGGGTAGTAGTAGTAGTAGTGGGTTTGTTCATTTACAAAATGTCGATTCGTGTCAGGTAGAGACAGGTATCTACCTCAGTACAATGGAAGATGATCGCTCAATTTCGTGGATTGATTGAGGTTAGACAATCGGCTCAGTGATCTACAGGTTAAGCATTCGCGTATGAGACTGAAGGCCCTTGGTTCGAATTGCGCTAGCGGGCTCGTGGATGCGCACTATTAAAGAGTCACATGTTGGGACAAAACGACTGTCCAGTGCTTCCAGGTTTTCAGTGGTGATCTAACATCAATAGATTCATGATCTCAATCAAAATGTCAATCATTTGTCTCAAACTTGATTGTTCCTTTTGTAATTATCAATCAATCATCTCATACCTCAGTGTTTATTCATTTTCAAAGTAATCATCCTCTGTTCTCGTTCTCTTTTCTTCGATCTTCTTAACCTTTTGTCTTCAGGCATTTCACTTTCGATTGATGATACATACTACTAATATCTGTTGACATCAGTAACACACATCACACTAGCATCTCACTGGGTGAATCGTTCGTCCAGATTCTACATAGAACATTAGCTCTATTAGGATTTCATATATACTTAAATAATGAGAAGCTACTTATTACTAAGCCTATATTCAGAGCTTCAAGACGGCTAAATAGCCATCAAATACTTTTTTTGTTTTTTAGTAGCTATCTAGTTAGGGTTATTCAGTGATGTAAACTATGAAGTTCTCCAACATTTCAAAAATCAAAATTCGTACTAATTCTGTCTTTACTAATAACTAATTTCGAGGAGAAATTCCTGTATCTCCAATAAGAAATCTTGCGTTAACTGCTTCTATGAATCCGTTGTTCATGTTGTTTTGCTAATGAGTAAGGTGTGGCAACATGAACCGATGCATATATGTGCGTAGTCCTATGTTGTAGCTGACTGACCAGATGAATCCAACTATATCATCTGTGAGGCAGCTATTGACCAATGACATTGGAAGACGATTGCACAATATCAAAAGATAATTGAAATTAGAAACACGTACCATTGGGCTGCAAATAATTATTCTAGAGGTTCAACTTAAAAAGGAAAACCTGATGGTGCTTTAAGCGATTAGTTGGGCGGTTATGGATACTCACTAGTTTAAATTCCCATACGAATAAGAAAGAACTGTTCAGTACTTTTTGATTGAGATCATGAATCGATTGATGTTAGACCACCGTTGAAAACCTGGAAGCACTGGATGGCCATTTCATCCTATTGTGGAACTCTTCAGCAGTGCACATCCACGATCCCGCTCGCCGGATTATAACCCAGGGCCTTAATATCTAGATCATTGAACCCGCCGGCATATATATACCGTAAGTGGTTCTATAATGAAGTTATTAGTTTAGGTTAAATAAAGCACATTCAAGTTGATAAATTCATCAAAAAGTCATCATTAACCACAAGTGTACATAAACAATGACCTGTTCAGTATGACAAGACAGATAATACTTATATTAACTGACAAAAGTAGGTTTTTGTTAACCGGTGAAAAATGGTAGTCTAACATCGATCAATTCATGATCTCAACCAAAAACTGAAAAATCTCTGCAACCTCATACTGATAATTACCATGTACTCACTAGTGACCGGTTTCGTGAGATAATTCTCGGAGTTTTAGAGAAACGCCATGACCAATGGAGCTAATCCATGCCAGGTAGAGAAAGGTATCTACCTCAGTATAATGGTAGATGGTTGCGCAATTTTGTGGATTGGTTGAGATTAGACATTAATACCGTTGGATACCGGATCATTGGCCTAAAGGTTAAGGTTTCGCGCACGAAACCGAAGGCCCTGGGTTAGAATCATGCGTGTGGGATTATAAATGCGCACTGATGAAAAATCCTACTATAGAACTAAACGGCCGTCCAGTGTTTCCAGGTTTTCAATGGTGATCTAACATCAATCGGTTCATGATCAAAAACAAAACTTAATAATCTCTATAACCTTATACTGATGTTCAGTACTTTATGAGTTTTACTAGTTGTCTAGTTTAGTTTATTGTTCTTACTCTCTCCTTTTCCACCTTTTTTGCGTATCGTTTTATACTACTTTTTAATATTCAGTAAACAATTGTATTCCCAGAAATTTTTATGCTTGTGTTGTAATGCAAGTTGTGTAATATTTTGAAATATTTACATACCCTTATAACGTTTATTGTATTTATCATTATAATTACTTTATCTTAATCTGTTTAGCAGTTATCTACAGTTTTGTGCATTTGTTTAAATGCAACAGTTTCTAGATTGTTTGCTCATAGTTTGGGTTTCGCTTGTTGATAAACTGTTACCAAGTTTAGACACAGCTATCAATTGTAATTTACACTATCAAAGCCGATTTTATTTTATACAAAAGGACACAATAAACACCGCAGACACTCCACAAGTTGAGATTTGTAACTAATTTTTTTTTGTATTATTCAATAAAGAATCGCTATTTTAGACAAATCATTGTTTTGTGAATATCCTATTTTGCTCATATCTCAATTAGATGACCTAGATGCTTCAACAGATCTAACAAATATAAACAGACATAAATTCAATGAGTTTTCATAAATCTTTTTAAATTTCATAATGTACAAAATAATACTATTCATTTTGACATAAGATTATTCTCATTGTTTTTTTTCTCTTTTTTTTTTTGAAAACAAACAAGTAATAGAAGAAATAGATAAAATGTAATAGTTAATCATTTGCAAAAAAGAAAAATTTAAGAAAAAAAGAAAAAAAAGAAAAGAAAGAAATAAACGGAAGGAAAGGAAAAAGAAAACGAAGAAAACAAAAAGGAAAGAAAAACGAAGAAAGGAAAAAGAATACGAGAAAAAAGAAAAAAAGAAGAAGAAAAGAAAAAGAAATGAGAAAAGAAAATGAAAGGAGAAAAGAAAAAGAAAGAAAAAAGTAAAAGAAAATAGAAAGGAAAAAAGCAAAACGAGAGTGAAAACGAATAAAAGAAGACGGAGAAAAGAAAAAAACAGAAAGGAAAAAGAAAACAAAAACGAAAAAACAAAAGAAAAAGAAAATAGACAAAGGAAAAAATGAAGAAAACGAAAGGAAAAAAAGAAAACGAAGAAAAGAAAATAGAAAGGAAAAAAAACGAGAGGGAAAACAAATAAAAGAAATGGGAGAAAAGAAAAAGAAAGAAGAAAAGAAAACGAAAGGAAAAAAAGAAAACGAAGAAAAGAAAATAGAAAGGAAAAAAGAAAAAACGAGAGGGAAAACAAATAAAAGAAATCGGAGTAAAGAAAAGGAAATGAAAAAAAGAAAACGAAGAAAAGAAAATAGAAACGAAAAAAGAAAAAAACGAGAGGGAAAACAAATAAAAGAAATCGGAGAAAAGAAAAAGAAAGGAAAAAGAAAACGAAAGGAAAAAAAGAAAACGAAGAAAAGAAAATAGAAAGGAAAAAAGAAAAAAACGAGAGTGAAAACAAATAAAAGAAATCGGAGAAAAGAAAAAAACAGAAAGGAAAAAGAAAAGGAAAGGAAAAAAACGAAACGAAGAAAAGAAAATAGAAAGAAAAAAAGAAAAAACGAGAGGGAAAACAAATAAAAGAAATCGGAGTAAAGAAAAAGAAAAGGATAGGAAAAAAAGAAAACGAAGAAGAGAAAATAGAAACGAAAAAAGAAAAAAACGAGAGGGAAAACAAATGAAAGAAATCGGAGAAAAGAAAAAAACAGAAAGAAAAAAGAAAACGAAGAAAAGAAAGAAAAGAGAGAAAAACACATAGAATTTCTCTCTTTTTTTTTCGTTGTTGTTGTTGTTGTTGTTGTTGTTGTTGTTAATTTAATCAATTATATGAATCTATATTAAATAAGACTATAATTTCCATGACCATTATATTTTCCAATAATAATATGACCATTTTCATTAATTTTTAAATAATGATTTAATATATATTGATAATAATAACTTGGATGATATAAAATACCAATGAATTCACCACTACTTGTACAACATGTTAAATGATTTAATAAATTCCAATTTAATGTATGATTTATATTTTGTTGTAATGGTTGTTGATATTTCTCCTAGAAAAATAAACAAAAGAGAAAAGAAAAGAAAAGAAAACAAAACAAAAGAAAAGAAAAAAAGAAAACAACAAAGAGAAAAATGAAAATAACAATGCTAGAACTAGAGAGGGGTTTTATAAAGATTTTAGTAAATATTTATAGTTGGATTTATGAGTCAATTAAAGTTAGAATATCATGTAATGTTTAAGAGAATTGGATAGTTGTTTCGTTTTAGTATGGAAGTCCTAAGCAGTGGTTATCCATGATCCCACCTTGAATCTAGGACCTATCAGATTCGAGCATGAACGCTTAACCTTTAGGTTACTGAGCCAGCATCCAACGGTGTTGATCTCTAACTTCAACCAATCCACAAAATTGCACCATTGTTCACAACAGACCGGATTGAATTTCATTAGTCACTGCTTTTCACTAGAACTCCAGGAAATTGCTCTTGGAGACAGCCACTTGTGAGCATATGATGATTATAATCAGAAAGGGGTTTTATGGATATTATAGTAGTTTATTAGTTGAATTCATAAGTCAATTAAAGCTAGACTACCATGGAAAACCTAGAACAAGTGAACTATCATTTCATATTATTATGGAACTTCTCAGCAGTGCACATCCACAATTCCGTCCACAGGATCTAGTGCCATTCTTTCAAAAGTCTTCAACCAATAATTATTTTCAGATGGGTTTTTGTGGATATTATAGTATTTTCAATGGTTACGATCATGAGTCAGTTGAAGCTAGACCACCATGGGAAACCCTGGAAACACTGGACGGCCATTTCGTCTTATTGTGGGACTCCTCAACAGTGCGTATCCACGACCTCACCTAGAACCTACTAGTTTCACGCGCAAGCACTTAAACACTAAACCACTGAGCCGGCATCCGATGGTCGTTCAATATTTATTAGAAAAAAAAATTGCATGCTTAAATCATAAATGATATGGAATTGACCTTGAAACATGTAATTAATCAATTTAAACAATGATTCATAACTTATTAGGCGGTTCTTCGATAATCATTGAAATTATTCACTAGAATAAACCAATCAGATATAAGATAACAGATTTTACATTTTGGCGCAAAATTCATTCATCTTTTTTGGTTAAATAAACTGTTGATATTATAACTGATGATGTAAACCCTGAATATAATTCTTAATCTTAATCATCAATTGTAAATCACAATTCTAATTCTTTACAAAGCTTTATAACCCTTATTTGATCCTAGTTATTAGATGGATACCTTGAAGGTTACTTTAGTATCTCTCAAAAGTCGTCCATAAATTATAGTTTCACCAACAAAAATAGTCTGTTGAAAACAAAACAGAATTTATTCATTTTCTAAGATAAGATCAGAACTACTTTGAATAGATCAATGTATTGGTCATGTGGAGTATTTCAATTCTAAAATAAAAGTATCCAAACCGATTGATGAATACTATCCATCATTCTTAAACAAATCAAAATGCATATTTCTATTATAAGCAAAGATGGATAGTGGCTAGCAGTGGAATCCAGCATGCGCGTTTCGTACCATTGCACAAGCAAGTGGCTATCAGGACTCAGTAGCTAAGTGAGTAACGCGATGGCGTTTGAAGCGAATGGTACTGGGTTCGAGTTCCGGAGTGAACATCAAATCTGAGATGCAGGTACATCCAGCTGACGAGTTCCGAATAGGACGAAACGCGCGTCAAACTGGATTCCACTACTAACCACTATCCATCTTTGTTTATAATGCTTGTCAATTAAGGCAATATCGAGGCAATACGCACAGTATGCACATATGCCATAAAAACAGACTGATCAATTTCAGTCCTAAACATCAATGGGAAGATTCAAGTAAAATAATATCAAGTGTATGTTTCTATTTACTAAAAAAATGTTTTATTAGCAAAACTGTTAGAAGTTGTATTGTATATTTTTCATATTAAACTGATCAGACTGGTAGCTTATGTACGTAGTGAAGTGCTAGACTGCTAGGTTTGAAGCTATCACAAGTTCACTTAATCTGTGAACGAGAACAAAGACTCGGTAATTAAAGACCAACAAGCTAGCTATTCAATGCGACCTAGCCCCGCTAACTAAAGGGAGAAGTCCAGGCTTAGAATGGGGAAGTCTATTCCTCAAGCACCCAGAAACGAGCGATAACAACAAACACAAATCAAAACGTATATATACAGCACAAAACCGTCCTTGGGGAGAGTTACCAAATAGCATACTAAAAGACGCAACGGATCATAGCATATAAGATATTTCCCAAATGGGAAATACAACATGAAGTTGAAAAGAGCGCTTTTGGCGCAAAAACAAAGAAATTCAAATTTTCTAAATAAAATTACAAAATTAGGTCCTTTCCCAAGTGAGTTCTGTGAATCTAACGTCCCCAACACAGACTAAGTGTACATATTGACAAGTTGAAATAGAAAACTGCAGGAAAAGTATATCAAAATATGTAAAAACTAATGATTCATTGAGTCATCCTATTTGTATAGCTGAATGATTTTAACAATATGAAAATAACATATATAAACGAACAATATTGTCTTCGATTAGATCCTCATCAGGCTGTACTCTAATATACAGTAATATTTCTGAGCATATACGAAATCAAATCTTGCGAGTTGAGATCATAGATGCGCACTGTTGAGGAGTCTCATATTAGGACGAAACAACCATCCAGTGCTTCCAGGTTTTCCATGGTGTTTCTAGTTTCAATTGATTCATGAATTTAACTATTAAAATTAATGAATACCTGTTGATAGATTAACAGATATGTTAATTGTATTGAATACATTTAGTTTAACTTCAATATTCTTAACTTGATGATTACATTAAATGTTAACATCATTTTGAAGTACTCAACATACTCATATACTCATAGTTCAATAAAGTGTAGAGTAAAGAGAACTTTGAGATATTGCACTCATTGATGATAGGCAGATGAACATCTTTTTAGCTTTAAAAGTGGAGCGATTAAAAATATATATACCCCCAAGGAATAATTTAATCAGAGAGGGGTTTTGTGGAGATTGTAATGATTTATTAATTGAATTCATGAGTCAATTAAAGCTAGACCACCATGGAAAACCTAGAACAACTGGACGGCCGTTTCCTCTTAGTATGAGACTCCTCAGAAGTGTGCATTCACAATCCCACCCCGCGAGATTTAAACCCAGGATCTATCAGTCTCGCGCGTGAACACTTAACCTGTAGACTTTTGAGCCGGTATCCAATGGTAATAATCTCGCAGGGCGAGATCGTAGATGCGCACTGTTGAGGAGTCCCATACTAGGATGAAACGGCTATCCAGTATTTTTAGGTTTTCTATGGTGGTCTAGCTTCAATTGAATTTATTCATGAATAGAATTATTGAATAATTTATTATTTACTCACTTGTTTATTTGTTGTAAGTTTTGGTAGAACTTTTGTAGGACTTCGTCTATCTCTTTCAGTTTGAAGTTCTATAATTTCAATGAAACATAGATTGTACTCGTTAAATGTTTAATTAGAATAAATAAGTAATTCAATAACTTTAAACTATTTAATGCTGTCTAAACAAAGATGGATAGTGTCTACCAGTGAAATCCAGTTTGACGCGCATTTTGTCCTATTTGAGACTCATCAGCTGGATGTACCTGTATCTCAGAGTTAATGTTCATGAGTCTCAAATAGGATGAAACACGCGTCCTTGATTCCACTACTGGCTACTATCCATCTTTACTTAGAATGCTTGTAAATTAAGGCAATATCAAGGAAACACTCACAGTAAGCACACATGTCAACAAGAGACTGATCAATTACAGTCCTAAACATCAATGGGAAAATTCAAGTAAACAATACCAAGTGAACGTATTTAGTGCTGTGCTTCGTATTGGAAAATGGTTATACCAACTGGCAGGATACTTACATTTTTGAGTAAAACGTTGATTGAGTTTAAACCATTTACTGTATTCAGTAATAAATGGTAAATGGTAAAATCTGTCCCTCATTTAGTGTCATAAGGCAGTATGTGTTTTACTTTGAACTTCTTAACCACTACAGATAAGGGTTTCTTACAGGATCTTTGAAAAATTTGGCTTCAGGTTATGTTTACAATTGATTGATCACTGGGTGGTGATCAATGTCATGTATGTCAGGTCCTTCTTAGTGCAATGTGGCCACTAATCTAGGCGACTTGACATTGAATGCACTATGTTGAGATAAGATGGTGGTTGAAGGTAGTCAATAGGTTTCGTGCTACTTGGCACTCATCAGCAAAGTGTACCCGTAACATAGTGCACGCAATTTCGAGTCACTTAGACTAGTGGTCACATTGCAAATTAGTCGATAGGATTCGATCTACACTAAGAAGGATTCGACATACATAACATTGATCGCTACTCAATGATCAATCAATTGTAGTTACATGTCAGTCCTACAGGAGATCAGTCGCTAGTATCTACCTCCATCAGTTTGTATTTCACAACATTTAACATTTATTGGTAACAGTTCAACAACTAATAGATGCTAATTTCTAAGAATACCAAATGATCAACTATTGTGAAATCCTTTATAATAAAGAGAATTTCATTACATAGACAATGATAATGACTACAGGTTACTTATGAATCATCCAGCTGGTAACCGATATTAAGGTAATTTATTCAAAAATAAAAAAAAAAATAAAAAAAACGTTGGCAACAAAAAAATATGTCGGTTGTACTTGATCAATGTTATCAGTCTCTTAAGGATTTCAATTTCCTTATTTGGATGCCATATTGAATTACGAATAGTAATAAGAAATACATGCAATATTAAATATCTTCAGTATAATATGATTGTGTTAGGCGAGTAGCTTGGCAACTGATAAATATTCAATCAATATTATTGATTTATTGACTTAGCAAGATTCAGAAATCACTTCAGATTATCATCCAAAGATTTTAAGACTTTTAAGGCAATATAGTAGTAATCCAATTATTTGGATGTTAAAATTATTTGTGAAAGTAAATAGTATACTTGTTATTCTAAGATGAAAGTTCTGTACATGCACATGTAGATTTTATTGAAGGGTGAACTGTAAATGACTGGAGCAGTTTCAAAGAATCAGGTGAACACTTAGTTTGATGGAACAACGACACGATAGAGTTATGTTGAGACGGCTAACAGAGGTCCTAAAAGAGTCAAAGCGTGTCCATCCAATCACAACATGATGGAGCTTTTTAGAATATCAACGTGGCATTCTATTATCAGTTTAGGGGTTGTGGAGATTGTCAAGATTTTGATCGAGATCATGAACCGATTGATGTTAGACCAGCATTGAAAACCTGGAATCAGTGAACGGTCGTTTTGTCCCAATGTGGGACTCCTTAACAGTGCGTATCCACGAACCCGCTCAGGGGATTCAAACCAAGGGCGTTCGGTATCGTACGCAAACGCTTAACCTGTAGACTACTGAGGTGATTGGTTTATATTTATTTATTTATTTGAACACATAAATATTGGTACAGAGGGGCACCAAATATATATGCGCCACACAAAACAATGATAATTTGAAAAGAAGGAGAAAAGAGAAAAAAAAAAGTAATGAACGTGGGGAATTATAAAAAAAAAAGGGAGAGAGAGAGAACAATGGTGGGGGAAACGGAAAGGTACAATCAGAAGAGATCTTTCAGTTAAGGAAGATATAAACACTTTTTATGAAGAAAGTAAGAGGTTACAGCACGATCGCCACTGGCTTCTATTCTTAGCCATATCTGATAACGTCTCTAGCCACTGCGTTACACCGTCTCTCGGACCCCAACCAGGGAGTCGTGAAGGACCAACAGAAGCTAGCCCTTTGCAGCTTTCTTTCATACCACGACACCATGTCATATACTGACCACCTCTCCGCTTTTTCCAACCAGTCCCAGAGTCGGCAAATAATGCACGACGTGGAATTCTCTGGGACGATGATTGGTATTGAACGGTGTTAATGTCTAGGCTCAACCAATCCACGAAATTGCGCGACCATCTTCCATTGTACTGAGGTGGATACCTGTCTCTACCCCACACAGATTAGCTCCATTGGTCACAACTTCTCACAATAACTCCGAGAATCTTCTCACGAAGCTAGTCACTGGTGAGCACATTGTAATTATCAGTTTAGGGATTGTGGAGATTTTCAAGTTTTTGATCGAGATCATGAATCGATTGATGTTAGACCACCATTGAAAACCTGAAAGCACTGAACGGCTGTTTCGTTCTATTGTGCTTCTAGGTTTTCAGTAGTGGTCTAACATTAATCGGTTCATGATCTCGATCAAAAACGTGACATGCTATTATTGGACAGTAGCATGAAAATGATATGAGAATAAAAATTCTTCAGAGTTACTTATACTTCACTTACCTGGAGTTAAATAACATTCGTTTTTATGTCGCATTGTCCATGATTTTAATTTACAAACTTTGGAACAAAAATAGACTCTATGACAGCGTGAACATACTGTTAAACGTACACCGACAGAACGTCCACATTCATAGCAAAATGTATAGGATATACAGCTAAAAAGCAAAGAAAATTAGTATGTATTAAACATTAATTGAAGTTTGTAGAGATTATTTAATTTAAAGTTAGTTTTGATGATAAACCAAGATCTTCCGGAAAACCATTAAGAATTAGTAGGCGGTGGTGAACTAGCGTTTGGTCATTGTTTATTATTCTTAACACTGTCCCCCTAAGAGATAAGATGAAGAATCAATATATCCTGAATACCATCTGTCGTTGTTATGAATGTGAAGTAATATAAGATAAGTGGTTGAAATTCTACAACTTTGGATGAGTGTTAGATCATCACTAGAAAACTGGAAGGATCAGATAGCTCTTTCTTTTTAGAATAGAACTCCTCGAAAATGCGTTTCCATCGCCCTGCACTCGAGGATCTAATCGTTTAAACGCGGGACTGTAGGTCGTGGATTGGATTTACGCATGTTGACTTGTGGACAAGCACTTCTGAGGAGTCATATCTTAAGACGAAACGACCCTCCAGTGCTTCCAGGTTTAAAACAGTGGTCTAACACTCATCGGTTTCCGATGTCAATGAAATTAACAAAATGATTTGAACTATAAATCATCAGGAGTCCTTGCACGGTGTAAATTTGCTGATGATTAGAAAATTCACGCTACTTGTGGAAACATAATAAATGCCTATCGGTACTAAAATTGATTCAGCTTCAGATGAGTTAACCAAATGTGATTAGTCTGATAAACAAAATACGTCAAACAATAGCTGGAGAACCTTTCATCCTTCATCAGATCACTGATAGTTACAGGCTGATCATATGGCTTCTACAGGTAGTTTTAAACACATAATTTTCATCTTCATTCCACAAAATTCATTGAAAGGCATAATATCAAAGAAGTAGTCACAGATATACGTTGACATTACTCCGTAACAACCGAATGCGTATTCAAATCACTTCAATAGTTCATCAAGTTATCCTTGTTTACCATATGATGTCTTATAATTCTAAACAAAAACATCATCATCAAAATAAACTTTAGAAAGAAGCGAGGTATTATTTATTTTTATGATATAATATTAACAAAACCCTTCACCTTAGCAACAACTGTTCTTTGTCAGCAAAAGAATGAGTGAATGTGTTGGTTTTTCAACAATTAATATTTAATAGTTGAATTCATGAGTCAATTGAAGCTAGATGATCGTGCAAAACCTGGAAGTACTGGACATCCGTTTCACCCTAATATGGGACTCCTCAGCAGTGAGCATCCACAATCCCGTCCTGCAAGATTCGAACTCAGGACCTATCAGTTTTGCGCGCGAGCGCTTAATCACTAAATCACTGAGCCGGCATTTTTAAGTTGAGAGGATTTTAAAGACTGGTTAACTATGAAGATGATTTTGATCACATAATGATTTCGTCCAACGAATTGATGAACACCAAATAGTACTTAACGGTTGTTTTGCCAAAGTTTAAGTCTTCTCATCTTTACCCACTCAGGGCCCTATCAAGAATCGAACCGTCAAAACACTCATGTATAGAAAGAGATGAAAAACAACAAACAAATACGGAATATAAAAAAAAATAAGTGGAATCTCTCATTAGGTCGTATCCGGCCAAAGACGGGGCAGATGTGTGTGTGTGCAGGAGATGAGATCAAACCCTTTTGATAAATGACAAAGATATATGAAAGACAACTCAAAATGATTTAATTGAAGACAATATTGTTCATCGATATATTTTATTCTAGACCACCATTGAAAACCTGGAAGCACTGAACGACCGTTTCATTCTACTGTGAGACTCCTCAGCAGTGCGCACTCACGATCCCTCTCGTGGGTATTCAATAGTTGTCTAACATCAATCAGTTGATGATCTCAATCACATGCTGATATCTTATTCCAATGATCTATATTTATTAAATGTTTCAAAAAATTGAAAAAAAAAAATCTAGGGTACACAAACCTGTTTTTCTTGAGATAAGTCGGTGATCCTTGACGTGAAGGTTTAGAAGATGCTGAAAAAGTAACAACGGGATCACAAAATTTAATTATCATACTTTTAAATAAATTCTTATTAAAGCCTACAGTTAAGAGTTCAAATTGATGATCAACAAATACATTGAAATCAATCCAATTTATCAACCAGTCAGGAAAACTATGCACAAACATACGAACAAAAACCAAACCAATGAGAGATACAACCAAAACAAAGAAGTAAACAATGATATGTTTAAAATCAACAAGAATCAATCAACATCGAGATGTATAGAACAAGCTGTGAACCACATATGCAAAAATTTAAACATTTCACTTCTAGCTGAAGTTTGTGTTGATGATATCGTTCAGATGAATGATGAAAGCTCCACAATCAAACTATCCAGTTTATAGAACAAAACTCCATCAAAGAGATCAAAAGTAACAGATTCGTTTAAAAAGAACAAAGGATATGAATTTAAAATGATAAGTAAAATAAGTTTCTCAAGAATATATGTCTTGGTATAGCTGATCAAGTAAAGATCATTATCTCAATAAAGAGAAAATATATACTATTTCATGTAGATAGCTTTGTACCCATTGAAAAAGTTAATGGTTATCCGGACTCAATTGATCAGTAAATAATGTATAATCATTTAAAGTGAAAGATATTCGATTCAAGTCTCAATGTTTGCATCAACATTAAAAATGGAGTCCCAAAGAGTACGAACTATGCATCCTAGATCCAATGGATGGTTATAATCTATCTCTGGTAAGTTGTTCAAAGTTTGCAAACTTTAAAATAACTGTTAGATTATAAAGATTTGAATCATATTGTTAATCTAATGAAATGGTAACACAGTTATCTTCAATGAAGAAGGAGTAGTTCTGTGATATAATAGACCATTTAGCTGTGAAATATTGATCATATTCTTATAAAACAATACTAACATATACTTTGAAAAATAGTGTATCCTATTACAATTTTCTTACAAGGGACAAACAGTCAAGATAAGATTAGTTGCTACCACTGATTATGCAATCACTATATGTATAACCTTGTCGATTGTTTTGTAATCTAAGTTGTCAGTTTTTCTATGCTCCTGTGGTGTCTGTCATTATGTTAAGCCCAAATACCTTACTATTATTCTAACTTTCGGACAGCTCATTCTATTCATTCTATTTGAGTCACATTCTGACCATGTTAATTATTCGCTTATCAATGTCTTGACTGTCTTTGTATGAGCGCGTAGGCGTATGCACACTTCTTATCCCGTTACTCATCACATGTCTGTAATTTATTTTTGTGGGCTTATAAATATTGATTAACTCTTTGTGAAAGGGAGAGTTGGCTTACCAGCCATCTCCACCGCTCGTCAATTTTGCTTCGCTTTCTCATCTTCGCATCGTTCCTCCGTTCGTTTGTGTAATCAACAATTATACGAAATATATGCATTCAAAACTCCATTCTCGTTATTTGACTTATTTAATTCCGTTATTAACTAATGCGATTTAAGTCAATGATCATATACGAGGATAGACGATAGCAATCAATCATTACGATCAAATTGGAGTCAGATCACTGGGCCACTAAAATGGTGATCCCGCCACCACAAGCTAACACAACAAGCTACGAAACTCCTATTAATCATGAAATGACAGTTATGAACAGAATACCTCAATGGTAATGTCTGTTAATATGATGACGGTAATATTATCTTCTTTAACATTGTAGATAGATCTTTCTGACATGTATCAACTAAAAAGAAACCTAAACTAGGAACATCATGTTTATATTCTTGAATCACTTAGTATGAAATAATCATAAAATGTTTAAGTACAATACAAGTTAACTGATCTGGAAAACAGCATATAATCGATTTTGAACAAGTAACAGGATCAGTCAGTCATTCAGCTATAGCGTAGGACCAGGTACATATATGCATCGGTCCAAGTTGCCATACCTCACACATTAGCACAGCAAGATGAACACCGGATTCATAGAATTAGTTAACTCAATGGTGTAATATATAAAAGAAAGATTTTGTATAAAGATATAGTACAGAAAGAAAGAATTAGTTCGTAGAAAGAAAGATATGATGCAATTTTTATATCATGGTTTAATGGAAGACAGAAAGTGTATACACCTACACCCTTGTGATCGATTCTGAGCCATGTCACACACAGTCTACAACCATTAGTTACGATAGTTATGCGGATCCCAACTAAGTAGTCTGAATCTACTAACATGCTTTAGACTAGAAGTTAGTGATTTCAAACACTGATGCCACGTTTTGGTTTGGCCACCCATAACTTTCTTCCAGCTGTTCTCATCTCAACAACCAGTTAGCATTGCGCGTCGTGGTAATCGGTGTTGAAGCATACGTAACACGTTGTTCAACCATCTCAGTCGATGAAGATTCACAACCTTATCAACTAATTTGACATCATCCTCCAATACCCTACTTATAACCTCACTATTACTTACCTGATGATCCCAGCATATATGAGCAATATTTCTAAGACATCTGCGATCAAATACTAGTAACTTACGAGTATCTTCTACTATTAATGGCCACATTTTACAGCTGTAAAGTAGAACAGAACAAACTACCTCTCAGTATACTCATCTCATTAAACCTTTTTGAGTTACTCACTCACTCACTCACTCACTCACTCACTCACTCACTCACTCACTCACTCACTACTATTACATAAATCTGGACAAACGATATTATACTTACATGTTTTCATTAGACAATTTTCTTGTTTATCTTTTAATTCAATTTGATCCAAATTTCTTTGTTCATTATTCTTATCATCATCATCATCATCACCATCATCAGCAATAAGATCTTCTATTGAATAAGCAAATTCTCTTAATCGATTAGCTAAATAAGTTAATATTTGCATTCTTCCATTATAAGTTTCTTTTTCAATTTCATTTAATGCATGATATGGTGTTTTAGAAATTCTTGTATCTTTTGCATAATCCATATAAGTGAAATCTATGACATTCCCTGTTATATAGGTATGTAAGTATACAGAAAACAATAAACATATATAAGAGATTTAAGTTTATTGTAATAACTTTGGATTGTTGCACATAATCCCTCCCCCTCCCCACCCATTTCAGTGATTTATATGTTCTTGAAATTTGAAGTGAAAAGATTCTCTGTTAACTTAGTTATAAAATACGACTACAAAGTACTTGTCAATGAAGTATACTTTCACGGTGTTTCTAAATCAATCAGTCAGCTGAACACATATATACATCAGTTTAAAGTTACCATACCTCCCATTATTTGACCGTTGTTGCTATTTTGATATAGCGGTCGGGCTTTCCTATCGTGATAAATTGGTGGAGTTATACCGGTTGGAACAATAGTTACTCCAGGTTCTATCATGCCAAACAGGTCGATTGAAGAGCGGTAAAACTAAAAGCAGCATATCCAAGGTCCAAGGGCTAAGTTGTACTTCTAACTGTACAGAGGTGTGATAGCAGTAAGATGTATCCTCCAAACAACAGGCATGAAAGTGATGCTTCCTTCCCATAAGGATGGGTGAAGTTAGAAAAGGTCGACCCTAAAAATACACACCTCGCGTTATCCCTTGGATATTCGTCGCCGGCAGTACGGTGTCAACAAGTACGGATCTGACACAAAAATCACCCACAGAAGGGTCGTATGTGACCGACCTCAAGCATTTGTTCCTTGAGCACTGCGGCCACACTCTCAGGTCAGTAAAACCATCTCTAATTCCATTTCTTTTTCAGATGCCTTCAGAAGAACCATTCTACGGCGTGAGCAACCGGGAAAAGATAACCGCCCTCATACCTCTAACAGCACTCAAGACCACTGTATTCGGTGTTTCTAAATACTAATACATAGATTGATTTATGTTGGTTTTATGGAGTTAGTGTCTGATTTAAAGTTACATTACATTATAAATTGAAATCAATTTGATAAGTGTATCGGTAACTACGGTGAACTTGCGACTTAGAACTAATGTGTAGGTCTGGTCTATGATACTGCCCAGGTTCCCTAACTGAAGTAGGTGGGTTTCTTAGTGGGCCACAGTTGGAGCCTTCGACCTAAAGGTTTGGTTCACAAGACAGTAGAGCAACGTCAAGAGATGCAGTCCCATCGTAGCCAGTGATCAACATTCAATTCATACCCCATTTGTTCTTTCAGAATACTGGAGCCAGCCCATGTATACCACTGGTTTGAAATCAGGGTTTTCCAATTCCCCTATGTGGATCCTCCATATCCACTAACTCGGCTAAAACGACGGACATTCACTTTTAATCCTTACGATTTAGTAAACAACAGTAATACCTCAAGAAGGCAGTCAGTAGGACTTCCTTGTAAAGTGGCTGTATACGTGAGGCAATATGAAAGTATTTGAAAAGAAAAAGCTAACTCTCCCCATTCTTGGTTGTACCAGAACATTTTGAGGGCCATAAATAAAGTAGTGATCACTAGCTAAATGAAAAAAAAAACATGTAACAAACTCACCGAAAATTCCTTTGGATTTTAATAAAACAAATGTTTTAAAACTGTCAATACCACCTTTATTAATTAAACATTTGATTAATTCTAACCGTGATTCAATTGATCTTCTAAATTCAAATAAACTTGAACATGCAATACAAAGAGCTGAACCTAAACCATCACCTAATGGTTGATTAATATTTGTATTCTGATGATTTATTAAAATATTAATACACTAAAACAAAAATAAAAACGTAAATAAAAGAAAAAAACAATGTTGAGTTTATATACCAGTCATGAAAATCACAACGTTGAATTCTGGTTCAATGATTTGGAACCGATAGATCCTGGGTTCGAATCTCGCGGATAGGATCTTAGATGTGCACTACTGATGAGTCCTATACAAGGACGAAACAGCTGTCTAATGCTTTCATGTTTTTCATCATGATCTAATTTTAATTAACTTATGAACTGAATTATAAAATTACAAAAAATCTTCACAAAACCCCTCAATCTGATGTATTTGAATATTTCCTAATCTCTATTGACATATTCACATCTTGAAACGTCAGCTTTGATATTGTCATTTATTCATAATGTTCTGAATTTCAATGTTAGTCACTATGTTACTTTTAAATAGAAAACATGGGTAAAAAATACAGTGTAGGGATGAACCAATCAGAATCGAGAATTCAATATTTAGGTGTTTTGCGCAAAATTTAAATACAATTTATAATGAACAACAGAAACATCATTGTAAAGTAATTAAAGTGTATCAAACAATAGAGAAAAATTATTTTCTGCTATTTAACAGTATGAATGATAATATCAGACATGGTAAATGTTCAAGTCTTTCTTTATAGTTTGAGTAGGACTATATTTGACGAATAATCTAATCATATAGATTCTCTTTGGTTTTGACTCAAAATTTGTTCATTCATGTGATAGTAAAGTATCATTACACCACTAAGCTCCTAATGATTAGCTTGAATATATGAAATTATGAGATGGTGGAGAAGATTTGTAGCTCAGGTGGATGATTTTGATGGAGTTTTGTTCTCTGAGCTGGATGGTTTGGTCGTGGAGCTTTCATCGTTCTTCTGAACGACATCATCAGCACAAACTTCAGATAGAATTCAGATAGAATTAACACAGAATTGTGTAAGGATTCTTACAAATAGATTAAAGTCTTCACAAAGGTTCAGGAAGGTTAATAAATTTCATTCATTAAGACGAAATTACACATTAATGTTCTGTCAATGTTTAGATAGAATAACCTGTAGGAAAACTTAAATAGATTCATTAAATATGTATAATCTATTTACACCATATGTTACTGTTGTATCCAACTGTATCCGATTGAGTGAGTATGAACTATTGATTATGACATTAAGGGAGTTACATGGGGTGTTTCTGAAATAAATTATCTATTTATTTATTTAAACACATAAACATTGCTACAAGGAAGCACCAAATAGATATGCGCCACATAAACCATTCGATTTATGTGAGGGGTGGGATACTGCCTGAGTGCCCAAATCGAAGTAGGTAGCATTCTTAGAGAGTCACACCTCGAGCTTTCGACTTAAAGGTCTGATTCAAAAGACAGTGGAACAACGTCAAGAGATGCAGTCCCATCGTAGTCGGTGACCATTAATTGGTTCACACTCCATTTGTTTCTTCAGGTTCCTGGAGTTCATGTACACCATTGGTTTCTATTCAGGGTTTTTCAACTCCCCTATAAGAACTCTACGTGTCTACCAACCCAGTTAAAGCGCCAGACATTCACTTTTTCGTCCTCTCAATTTCGTAAACAACACCCCTTTCGAATTTCAGAGAGAGAGAGAGAGATAGAAACATTTAATGTTATAAATATTATAGTGAAAAGTTAAAAAGAAAAGAATTCAAAACATTAATTTGAATGTTAAATGAAAAAAACCTACTGGATCATTTCCAGTTGCTATAGCAACACTGAGCGCTGAATGACCATTACACAATAAATTTGGATTAGCATTATGCTTTAAAAGGCATTTTGTAATAACAGCTGAATTCTAATGGATATAAAAAAAAAGTTACAGTGAAGATTAAGTTTATTTCATTCTATACTCAATATATTAGAGTTTTTACTCAAATAATAAATTGAGAACTATAAAGGAATAAATAGTTATTTCTTCTTAGAGTGAGGCTATAATTTATGGACAACTTTTAAGTAACGCTAAAGTGACCTAGAGAGTGTTTAACTACTTTACTAGGGTTAAATGAGTGTTATAAAGCAGTTTAAACAATAAGGATTATGATTTACAGTTGATGATTAAAGTTGTGAATTAGATTTAGGATTTTCATCACCAACTGACATAAGCTATAATGCCAAATATTCTATTTAGCCAAATGGATGAATGAATTTCGCGCCAAAATTTTAAACCTGTTATCGTAAATCTGATTGGTTCGTTCATAAATTATAGTCTTGCCTTTCTTAGTTTTGAACGCGTTAACGATGATCAATCATGGCGTTGTATAAGACTGAACCGAATATTTTTAGATTCCATATTGAGTACTATATATTGAGATTAATGAATTTCAATACATTATGCTTTATAATCATTTCCTTTTACAGTTCATGAAATAACTCATGAAGTATCCTTTAAAGCACTTTTGAACAATTTAAACTCTACTGATTTCTAATGGTTTCTTAATAGATCTTTAGTAAACTGATTTCAAAACTAGTTACTAATGAAGATCTATTCATACTTTACATAAGTTTTAGAATGTACGTTTGTAGAATTGTTTTTGATTGTTAGCTAATATTAATTGGATAACAATTTTCAAGACGTCGTATTCAATGAATAGAAATTCACTTATTGATGATTTCTTGATCTGAATTCATGAGATTATACTGTTGTTCGAGGATTATCCAATGGATATCATGCCTTACTGGAATAGTATATATATGCCCCCAAATGCCCTGGTACGGCCGAGAGTGGGGAGAGTCCGCTCTCCCTCTCGAAATGCTCTCACATGGCCATGCGTATATAGCCCCTGCTAGGGAAGTCCTACTCACTGCCTTCACGTGGCAGGGGTGTTGTTTACGAAAATGAGAGGACGAAAAGCGAATGTCCGGCACTGGCTTTAACCGGATCCCAAACCAATGGTGCACATGGGCTGGTTCCAGTATCCTGAAGGAACAAATGGCGTATGAACCAATCGTTGGTCACCGGATGGCTATCATGGGACTGCATCTCCTCACGATGCTCCACTGCCTTGTGGATCAGACGTTCAGGTCGAAGGCTCGGGGTGTGGCTTGCTAAGAAAACCACCTGCTTCGGTTTGGGCACCCGGGCAGTATCACAGCCCTCACACAAATCAATTGAGATTTGTGTGGCGCATATGTATTTGGTATCTCCTTGTACCAATACCTATGTGTTAAAATAAAAATAAATAAAGTATATATATATTTCACAGTCACTTTTGGACTTGATTTTTTAAAAAGGTTATCTTCTATTTATGGTGTAATATGGTTTATATTGGTTTGTATATAAACCCAGTATGTTTGAAATGCATGATTCCAATCTCAGAGGCTGAGCTTGGTGCTCTGGACTTAGAAGACAGGGTTAGACAGAGAGATGGACCAATAAACACTCTAGACTGCTCGTACGAGTCTATGTGTTATTGTTCTCTAATTCGGTCAGTCAGCTACAACGTAGGACCAGGCATATATATATATATATATATATATATATATATATATATATATATATATATATATATATATTACAACAGTGTCATACAACTCGCATCTGATGGGATCACCAGGTAAGTAATAGGGAGGTTAGACGCAAGGTATTAGGGTAGGACGGTAAATCAGTTGATGAGGTTGTGAGATGGTTGAACCACGCGTTTCGTGTACCTCAATACCGATTGCCACGACGCGCAATGCTGACTAGTGTCGGGAACAGCTGAAAGGAAGTTATGGTTGGCCAAACTAAAATGTGGCATCAGTGCTTGAAGTCACTAACTTGTAATCTGAACCATGTTGGTAGATGCAGACTACTTGGTTGGGGTCAGCGTGACTATCATAACCAATGGCTGAAGACTATGTGTAACATGGTTCAGAATCGGTCACAATGGTGTATGCATTCTCTGTCTTCCCATAAACTATGAGATTAAAATCGCTTCATATCCTTCTTTCTATGAACTAATTCATTCTTCCTATACTATATTCTTACATAAAATCTTTCTTTTATATAATACACTGTTGAGGTAACTACTTTCATGAATCTGGTGTTCATGTTGTTGTGCTAATGAGTAAGGTGTGGCAACTTGGACCGATGTATATATGTACCTGATCCTACGTTGTAGCTAACTGATTGACTGCTAGGTTTGAAGCTATCACGAGTTCACTTAATCTGTGAACGAGAACAAGACTCGGTGACCAAACACCAGTAAGCTAGCTATTGATGCATCCCAGCCTCGCTATCTACAGGGAGAAGTCTAAGCTCAGAATGGTAAGTATATTCTGCAAACAACCAGAAAACGTGCGATTCTAACAAACACAATTTAAACGTATTTATACAAATCTATCTAATCGATATTGTCATTTAAATTTTTAAACATTTATCAATAAGTTCATCAATTGACTGCCATTCAAATATTTTAACATTTAATCGATAATTATCAGAAGGGATTGTGTGGAGATTTTAGAAATTTCACTGGTTGAAATCATGAATCCATTGAAGCTAGACCACCATGGAAAACCTGGAATCATTGGACGGCCGTTTCGTCCTAGTATGGGACTCCTCAGCAGTGCGCATCCACGATCCCGCTCCTCGCGAGATTCGGACCCAGGACCTTTCAGTCTCGCGCCAGACGCTTAACCAACTAGACCACTGAGCTGGCCGGCATCCAACGCTGTTAATGTCTAACTTCAACCAATCCACGAAGTTGTGCCACCGTACACCATTGTCTTCAGTGAGCTGATATCTCACAACAGACCTGATTGAACTCCACTGGTCACGGCTTCTCACTAGAACTTCAGGAGTATCTCTTTGAAGTCAGTCACTAGTGAGCAGATGATTATTATTATTATTATCAGAAGGGATTGTGTGGAGATTTTAGAAATTTCATTGGTTGAAATCATGAATCCATTGAAGCTAGACCACCATGGAAAACCTGGAATCACTGGACGGCCGTTTCGTCCTAGTATGGGATCGTGGATGCGCACTGCTGAGGAGTCCCATACTAGGACGAAACGGCCGTCTATCTAATCGATATTGTCATTTAAATTTTTAAACATTTATCAATAAGTTCATCAATTAACTGCCATTCAAATATTTTAACATTTAATCGATAAGTTTGTCCATTGATTACCATTCAAATATTGGAACATTTAATCGATAAGTTAATCAATAAGATAAGATAAGTTTTGGGGGATCTATCGTCCCCAACACTGATTGATTGACTGACTGACTGACTGAATTAGAGAACAATAACACATAGACTCGTACGAGCAGTCTAGAATCTTTATTGGTCCATCTCCCTGTCTAACTCTGTCTTTTAAGTCTAGAACACCAATCTAACCGTCTGAGATATGAATCTTGTATTTCAAGCATACTGGGTTTATATATAAACCATATAGACCACATTACACCATAAATAGGAGATAACATTTGTATAAGATCAAGCTCAAAAGTGGTTGTGATTATAAAAGACTGTAACTAATAGATTGGGAATAACTTGACAACAGTAAATCGTATAATAATAGTCCATAATACAAAATGAAGCATGTAATAAGAGGAGTATAAATATACATCATCTAGCTACTCAATAGTTATACATTAAGAATATACATATAAGATTTGTTCATAAATAATTCTTAAAAGTGACCATTTATGATTCTCATCGGGATATAACAAAGAGCATATAAATGATGTACTTTGTAAATATAACATTGAATCAATTCATGTTCTCATGTCACCGAGTAAGTAACTCAGTTGTTAGGAAACGGGTACTAGGTAAGGATGGCAAATCAATTGAGGAAGTAGTGAAACTTAATCAGTTGAAATGGCTGGGACATGTGTTGCGCATGCCCGACCACCGACTGCCCCGATGTGCTATGTTTTATGGTGTAGGAGTAGATTGGAAGAAAGCTAGGGGCGGCCAGACCAAAACATGGCACAAATCCATGAAGTCACTGACAAGTGGACTGAGTCATGTTGGTAGGTGTAGACTACCTGGTTGGGATTCGCGAGACGATAGCAACCGATGGTTAGAGACCTTGAATGACATGGCTCAAAATCGTTTGCAATGGCGCAGGTGCATCCACTCTTTGTGTTCTCTCAAACTCTAATCTTCTGTATTCTTCATGTCCTTTATTTTCTTTCTCAATTTATTCCACTGGACTATACTCCTTTAATAACATCATCAAACCTTAATGTCCCCTATCTCTACTTATACTTTCAGTACCTCTACCACTATGGGATTTGAATCGATAACTGAATCTCTGTGCTAATGTGGTATGGCAACTCGAACTGATGTACGTACGTACGAAGTTCCACGTTGTTACTGACTGACTGACTGACTGACATGTTCTCATGTATTAACCTTTCTAAAATGAATCCGCTATGATTCACGATAGTCAAAGTGAAACTAGACATGCTGTCTCAAAGTCTCATAGTAAATAAGGAATTATAAATAAAACATACCAACTATGCTCTTAGTCAAAGTCAAAGCTCATATGTTGATACATACTAATAGTCTGCATACCAATTGAATCAGATTTACCAGTTTTAGATTTCTAATGACCACTTAGTTCACTTATTAGCTCAGTCTATTAGGTAAGAGTGTAAATAATGCATTTATCTATGTTGGAAATTATAGATTATAGTTTAATTATAATAAAATTATTTACCAGTAAATCATATTCACGGGAACAAACCAAATGTAATGGAGTTCGTCCTTCATTCATTCTATTTTCTTCAGGTGTTGTTTTACCTGAATTTAGCTCCTTGAAATGATCAGAAGAAGATTAAAATATCTAAGTGGAGTTTATTACTAATATGATAGTATTTATAAAACACTTTATGAAAATTGGAATCACTAGATAGTTCATACATCCCAATGGTCTGATCATTAGTGAACATTATGGGTGGGTGGGTGGGTGGTTGGGGGGCATCATTTAAATATCACCAAGTACAAAAGATAATCATCACTGAATATTGCAGGTTAATTGATTACACAGTCAGCATAGTGTCTTAAATTCTTCATCTTGATCACCTTTGTAGTTACTACCATCTAGTACTTCATGGTTTTAATGATATTTCAACTGGAAAGGAGTCTGTTATATAAGCTTACTATAAATATAGTTCTATTTAATGAAGACGCTGACAAAATGCAGAGTCTGCTGACCACTCTAAGTAACAATGCAGGCATGTTCGATATGCGATTTTCTCCATTGAAATGCAAAATGTTGCTTCAGAATTGGGTTGCATCGACACCCGAACTAGTGATAGGGAGTGAAGTAGTTGAGTGTGTCAACCGCTTCACTTATCTTGGAAGTCTCATCAGCCCTTGTGGTCTGGTGTGTGACGAAATCTCACCACGGATACAGAAGGCTTGACTAGTTTTTTTCAACTTGCGTCATTTGTGGCGTAGGTGAGATATCCATATATCAACCAGAGTACGTGTTTACTGTGCAGCAGTTCGTTCCATCCTACTTTATAGCAGTGAAACATGGCCAGTAAGAGTAGAGGATATTCGTAGGTTACTAGTATTTGATCATAGGTGTCTTCGAAACATTGCTCGTATATCCTGGGATCACCGAGTAAGTAACGTAGTTGTTAGGAAACGGGTACTAGGTAAGGATGGCAAATCAATTAAGGAAGTAGTGAAACTTAATCAGTTGGGATGGCTGGGACACGTGTTACGTATTCTCAACCATCTACTGCCCCGACAAGCGATGTTTTCTGGTGTAGGAGTAGGTTGGAAGAAAGCTAGAGGCGATCAGAACAAAACATGGCACAAATCCATGAAGTCACTAACAAGTAGGTGTAGATTACCTAATTGGGATTCGCAAGCTGATAGCAGCCGATGGTTAGAGATCTTGAATGACATGGCTCAAAATCGTTTGCAATGGCGAAGGTGCATTCACTCTTTGTATTCTCTCAAACTCTAATCTTCTGTATTCTTCATGACTTTTATTTTTTCAAATTTATTCCACTGGAATATACTCCTTAAATAACATCATCAAACCCTAATGTTCCCTATCACTACTTATACTTTCAGTACCTCTACCACTATGAGATTTGAATCGATAACTGAATCTCTGTGCTAATGTGGTATGGCAACTCGAACTAATGTATGTACGTACGAAGTTCCACGTTGTTACTGACTGACTACTTACTATAAATCTTCACAAACTTTTGTATCCTAATAATAACACAACATAGCAGATATCATTAGTGCATTCATAAAGTAAGCAACATTATCAAAAGGTATATACAAGTAGTAATTAGTAATACCTGTTGACTTACAACATATATCTTGTGATAAACAAACAAAAACTGGTGTATTTCTATCAAAACAAAATGATGGATGCAAACTGTGCAAATAATCAGTAAAGAATAACAAAAGTAAATGTGCATTATCTTAAATGAGATAGAACTGTGGTGTATGCTACTTATATAGACATAAGTAGTATATGACGTTAGTCGTGAACAGAATGTCTGATAGCAGAGCGACAAGAGGATCGAACAGTAAAGAATGGAAACAGAATGCAATTTGTATGAAAATGCAAGAACAAAGGAAGTCTGAGCCATTTTGAGTCGATTGATGGACATTATGCAAATTAAGCATTTACTACATGATGGTTAGATTTTGTTAACATGTCATGCAATTTTGCGTCAGGTACGTTCGATTGTCCCCATTGGCTTTCTGTTCATTACAAAACTATCCATTTTGAAAAATGGTATCTTTCTTTATAACCATGTGTAAACAGTTCTAGTGAATACATCTTGTGAATAATGTGATTTCATTCATTTCGTAGTAAAGTATGTCTTTAAAACATCAAGAATGATCAGTTGAAGAACGGTTTAAACCTGTCAACTCAACTGTTGAATAATAAATCAGGACTTGGAAACTTTTATCTTACTACCAGACATAGCAGTAGTAGGTATTTACCATACTAGCAAGGATCAAACCCAGGACATTCAAGGCTTATAGTGTCAAGTTACCGTTACATCACTATTTTATCATTCAATTTTTATTATATTTAAGTTCAGTCAATTTGAGGTATTTTATGGTCATCCTTCTCATTATTAATATGTAATTTCAGATGCGGTTTTGTGAATATTATAGTGATTTCAATAGCCGAGATCTTGTTTCAATTGAAGCTAGACCATCATGAAAAACCTGGAAGCATTGGACGGCCGTTTCGTTCTAGTATGGGGTTCCTCAACAGTGTGCATTCACAATCCAGCCTCGCGAGATAAAGGTTCACAAATATCAGTCCATTTAGAGGACAGATTATCGTTAATAGTTAAAGACAAATGTATAATGTATCTCAATGTATGCTCTCGTGTATAAGTTAGAGACGGAAGGTGACAAAAACCAAATGGTGGTAAAGATTACTACAAAACATAGAGATGTTTAGAGCTTACACGAATAAATGCATATATACCTAAAATTTAAAGGAATATATAAAATTTAACTTAGGGATCGTCCAATTTCTAATCTTGGCAGGAAAAAATTGATGTAGATAGGTTTACATATTCTTTTATTAGGATTTAAATGTCATTTTTGCCATAAGCTAAGGGGGGGGAGGAAGAGACACTAAAATCCAGGAGGTATTAACCAGCTGTTTCGTCTACTCACAATACTTTAGATTCGTTGGCCAGACACTATCAGCATTAACCTACTGTGGGAAAGAACAAACCAGATTCCAGCGGACGAAGAAATTAGGAAGAAGCGCTGGAAATGGATAGGAAACACATTGAGGAAAGCACCCAATTGCGTCATAAGACAAGCCCCCCAATTCGAATCCCCAAGGCCAATGGAGGAAAGGAAGACCAAAGAACACATTATGCCGAAAAATGGAGACAAATATGAGAAGAATGAACAACAATTGGACAGAACTAGAAAGGAAGACCCAGGACAGAGTAGGTTGGAGAATGCTGGCCGGTGACCTATGCGCCATTGGGAGTAACAGGTGTAAGTAAGTGATACAAGGATTAAATCAAATGTAAGTTTGAAATCAATGTTCTATAATATCTGATTATCAGTAGACACATGGATAATTATGAAATGCTTTCAACATTTAAATTGTGAACTAAGAATCAGGTTCAGTAAAATACATATTTCTTGATCAACAGTATGTAAAATCAATCACTCCATCAAGCCATAGTTACTAAAGTCAACTGTTACTTAATACCATTAAGAACGTCGTGAATTTAGTAATAATTAGCTTCCTTATGATCTGTAGAGTAGTAATGGGTAATCTTCAGTCAGATATTATTCATAATCAGAGAGAGGTTCTCTGGATATTATAGTAATTTTAACAGTTAAATTCATGAGTGGATTGAAGCTAGACCATCATGGAAAACCTGGGAGCATTGGATGGCCGTTTCGTCCAAGTATGGGATTCCTCAGTAGTGTGCTTACACGATCCTGCCATACAAGATTCGTGGACTGTTTGAAGTTCAACATTAACACTGTTGAATAGCCGCTCAGTAGTCTATAGGTTAAACACTCGCGATCGAGACCGTTACGTTCTGATCTCGAATTCCGCTAGGTCGGATCGTGGATGCACACTGTTGAGGAGTTCATTGTGATCTAGCTTCAATTCACTTATAACTTTACTACATGTTATATGTACAATGTTGCATATCTTAGTATTTAAAGCATGACAATTAAGCATAACCGAATCCATATTTTACTAAAATTATGTAATAAATTGATTCAGATTCGATTAGACATGCTACTATTAATGTACATACACTTGAATTCCCGGATATTATTGAAGTATTGAATTGACTTTTCAATTTGAAACTATCATCTAATGTAGCTTGTTTATTTGGATCAGCTAAACCATCTTCTAATAGAATTTCTGTTAATTTTACACCCATTTCATTTGGAACAAGTACAGCATAATGTAGAACAGTTAGACCATCTAAACTTGGTATTAATGGTGGTTCATCTTCATCAATATAAATTCCTTTTAATGCAGGATTCTCAGATTCAGAAATACTCTATTAATTAAATGAAAAAAAAAACACAACAACAAAACAAAACAAAAGGATGTAGAACAGGGTAGGTATTGTGGAGAAAGTAGTCGTGTTTCTTATTCATAGACATTCGTTCGTACTATCGTATTCATCTATTTTAATCATACTGTGGTGTGTATTACTGATGTTGACAGATATAAGTAGTATATATCATCGATCGAAAATGAAATGCCTGGAGGCAGAAGGTGAAAAAGATCAAAGAAAAGAGAACGGGAACAGAAACGAAAGAACAATGAAATCTGAAACGATTGATTGACATTTTGCAAATGAAGTATTAACTGTATGGTATTCAGATTTTACTAAGATGTTCTGTAATTTATGTGTTCAAATACATTTAATTGTCCCCACTTGTGTTCTCGTTCACTATAATACCACGAATTGTATATGGTTATGTACAAAAGCAATCAAATTAGTTATAGAGGTTGGATAATATATATATTCTAAGTTCAGTTATAGATTAAATTGTATGTTTATTGCTAGTTTGCTTACATCTGTTACCCTTCGTGGAGGAGCATAGACCTCCCACAAGCACTCTTCATTGAACTATGTTCTGAGCAATCCTTTCAAGTTAATATTCATTTTTTTTTGTGTCTGCTTCAAATTCCTGGCAAAAAAATCTTAAATTAGAATAAAATAATTGTCTGGTGCTTTATAGTGTAGTGAACAAGAACACGGATGGGGACAATCGTATGTATTCGGCTCAACATTACAGAGTTAATTGGTAAAATAGAAAAAAACCATATAGTAAATCGTTAATTTACAAAATATCAATCCATCATATCAAACTGAACTGTTTCTGTTGCAAACATCAATCGATTGTCTGATATTTCATTGTTCATGAGTTTCCATACAAATTCTCGTTATGTTCCCGCTCTTCCATTCTTGATCTTGATTAAGTTTTATAGTTTGTATTCATTTCTAATCTTTGTTAAACGATCATTAAAAGCTGGATAACGCTACTTCTGATTGTTGGCAACAAGTTATAACATCCTAGTACATACCTCTATAGCAATGTACATTCATGGACTTATTAAGTACCTCTAAGCTCAAAGTAACAAAAGCTTAATCTGTTATCCTGTGGGTTTATATTTCTAACCTTATCGAGATGAGCCCCCAAATGCCCTGGTACGGCCGAGAGTGGGGAGAGTCCGCTCTCCCTCTCGAAATGCTCTCACATGGCCATGCGTATACAGCCCCTGCTAGGGAAGTCCTACTCACTGCCTTCACGTGGCAGGGGTGTTGTTTACGAAAATGAGAGGACGAAAAGCGAATGTCCGGCGCTTTAACCGGATCCCAAACCAATGGTGCACATGGGCTGGTTCCAGTATCCTGAAGGAACAAATGGCGTATGAACCAATCGTTGGTCACCGGCTGGTTACCATGGGACTGCATCTCCTCACGATGCTCCACTGCCTTGTGGGTCAGACGTTCAGGTCAAAGGCTCGGGGTGTGGCCCCCTAAGAAAACCACCTGCTTCGGTTTTGGCATCCGGGCAGTATCACAGCCCTCACACAAATCAATTGAGATTTGTGTGGCGCATATGTATTTGGTGCCCCTTGTACCTATACTTATGTGTTAAAATAAATAATAATAATAAATAAATTATCGAGATGAATAACTATCTCATACCTTCTATATGATTAAACCACTCTGGAATATAACTTTCCATTAGAATTCTTGAAATCATCTCTGGAAATTATGTCTATAATATAGACATCATCATTATGTGTATAAGGGAGATTTGTGAATTTTATGGTTTATATAGACTTTTAACATAATTGTTAATTATAAAACTATTGTATAATAAAAAATAAAGTAATCAACTCTTACATCTACACGTAAACATATATTTGCATCTGCACCATGTTGAATTAATTTACGAACCATATCAGGATCACCAGCTTGTACAGCTAGAAATAATGCTGGTAATGGTCTTATACCAGTGTTTGGATTTGCTCCACGTTTTAATAATAGATCTATTATATCTATCATTTGTTTTTGTCTAAATTAAGAAAAAAATAAAGAAAGGAACTAATTATCTAATTTGTTTATAAGCAAAAATAGATAGTGGCTAGTAGTGGAATCTAATTTGATGCGCATTTCATCCTATTTCGGACTCTTCAGCTGAATGTACGTACATCTCAGAGATGATATTCACTCTGAGACTCGAGCGTCTTGGATTTCACTGCTAGTCACTATCCATCTTTGCTAATAAAGCTTTTGACTTCAGGAAATATCGAGGCAGTCCGCACAGTAGTTCTGAACTTTTCATTGTATCCATATGATATGAAGACACAATAAAGAAATATTGTCGAGTCATTAAAGCATGTGATCATATTACATATGTTGATTGATAAAAATCTATTTGTATTCTGAATAAGATGACGTCTGTACATACAGCTCAGAACCAATTAAACGATTTGGACTTCGCAGATGACCTATCCTTCCTGTCGCATACACACGAACAAATGCAGATAAAGACAGCCAGTATAGCAGCAGTCTCTGCATCAGTAGGCCTTAACATACACAAAGGAAAAACCAAGGTCCTCAAATGCAACACGGAGAACAGCGATCCAATCACTCTTGATTGACAAACTCTGGAAGATGTGGAATCTTTCACATACCTGGGTAGCATTGTCGATAAACAAGGAGGTTCAGATGCAGACGTAAAGGAGAGGATTGGCAAAGCAAGTACAGCATTCCTTCAATTGAAGAACATATGGAACCCAAAACAACTTTCAACCAATATCAAAGTCAGAATCTTCAATACGAACGTCAAGGCAGTTCTATTGTATGGAGCTGAAACATGGAGAACTACTACAACCACCAACAAGAGGGTACAAGTATTTATAGATAGTTGTCTACGCAAGATGCTCAACATCCATTGACCGGATATCATGAGCAATAGCCTTTGTGGGAGAGAAAAAACCAGCTTCCAGTTGAAGAGGAAATTAGGAAAAGTCGATGGAAATGGATAGGACATACATTGAGGAAATCATGAAACTGCATTACGAGGCAAGCGCTCACTTGGAATCCTGAAGGGAAGCGGAAAAGAGGAAGGCCAAAGAACACATTACGTCGACAAATAGAAGCGGATATAAAAAAGATGAATAAGAACTGGAAAGAGCTGGAAAGGATTGCTTGGGACAGGGTTGGATGGAGAATGCTGTTGAGCGGCCTATACTCCTTCACAAGGAGTAACAGGCATAAGTAAGTAAGTAAGGTACATACACAAGGGAATGGATTCTGTGTAATTTTTTCTTTTAACAAAACGTATTAACAGTCAGTTAATTATAAGCGGTATAGAATGTGGCATACGCGTAATTCGGTTCAAGCTACCATACCATGCATACAGTCGTAAAAATAGTAACAGTCTAACAAGTAAAAGGTAAGATTAAGCATAGACAATAAGATTCGTGATGAAAGAATAAATTTGTGGAATAAAAAGGTGTTATAACGCTCAGTTTTCCGCGTTTACACGAATGGGACGTTAATTTATCTACATTAGATACTCTTTTACTATCTATTCTAAAAGACTTCAACACAACTCAGATCAAGAATACATGACTAGCCACTCTATAAATCCAATAACAATCATACTAATCATAAGGGTAATAGAATATATAACTTATCTAATACCTATCAGATTATCTACTTGTTTTACTAAGCAAACAATCAGTCATTATTATCCTCGCTCATATTATCAAAAGGCACAAAATACTTCTAAAACCTATAATTTAATAGAAAGTAAAAACTGAATGAATCTACATCATAGTGAATGACTTTGACCCATAGTAACAAAATTCTTCAAACAAAATTATCTAACAAAGATTGTAGATTAGTTCTGTATACCTTATAACAACGAATAAATAGCCTATGTGAAAAAAGAAACATAATACATTGCTTACTTAGCAACTACATTAATTTAATCAATATCTTTACCTTTATTTGCATTTCAATTGATTATGATAATTAACATAATTACAATTCATATTTCCTTTGAATAAATTAAATAATATGTGTTGTGTTTACATATGCTAGGGATGTTCATTCTCAACATTCGTATAACGTTATTTATTTATTTATTTGAACACATTAATATTGGTAGAAAGGGGCCCCATATACACATATGCACTACACAAGTCACATGATTTGTGTGTGGGCTATGATACTGACTCAGTGCCCAAATCGAAGTAGGTGGTTTTATTAGGGGACAACACTCGGAGCGTTCAACCTAAAGATCTGATTCACATGACAGTGGAGTAACGTCAGGAGATGTAATCACATCGTAGTCGGTGACTAATAATTGATTCATACGCCATTTGTTCGTTCAGCATACTGGAGCCTATGTGCATTATTAGTTTAAAATCAGGGTTTTCCAATAGCCCTAAGTGAACTCTCCGTGTCCACCAATCTGGTTAAAGTACCAAACATTTGCTTTTCTTCCTCTCAATTTCATAAACGACTGTAATACCTCGAGAAGGCAGTGAGTAGGACTTCCCTGACAGTGGTTTTATAGGCGTGGGCATATGAAAGCATTTCCAGAGGGAAATCTGACTCTCTCCACTCTTGGCCGTACCAGGGCATTTGGGTGCAAGACTTTATTTCGACAATAAAACGTTGACAAAATATAAATGAAATACATCGGACAGTATAATACTAAACATATAAATGTCTTAGTTAGAAATACTATTAGTACGATATCTCTAAAATGATTAAATTATACTAAAATAAGAGATGGGATTTTTAGAATTCTATAAACATAGAAGATTAGACAGTGTTAGATTGATGCCCTTTGTAATTGATTTCGTCTAGTAGTGGAATCCAAGACGGAAATTACGTCAAATGGACTCATTTATATACTAGTACTGATATTCATTGTGACATTTAAAATTATTCCCTATTGCTTTAAACAAAAACTGTTTAGTATCAGAAGGGATTTTTTTTGGAGATTTTAGTAATTCCAATTGAAGCTAGACCGCCGTGGAAAACCTGGAATCACTGGATGGCCGTTTCGTTCAATTGTGGGCTTCCTGTTTATCGATTAAAATATCAAGTCTAGAAAGATACTGAATTATATCAACTGGTTTGATTGTTATATCATTATTATTAAGTCTGAATTATATCGTTGTTGATAATCAAGATCACATTTTGATCAATCATTGTTGGCAATATATACATCCTTAGAAGATTACCTAAAAATATCCATTTCATCATAGGTTTTATAGAACTGATAGATTATGGTTCATTATCAATCGATCAACCAAATAGATCCTTTTCTAAAGCAATTTATCTATCAGTCGAAAAGTTCAGTTACATATATCATTGACTGTTATACTGTAAGATAAACTCACTTTGCTAAAAGTAAAGCTTGTCGATCTAATGAATTTCTACTAACTGGTGTTTCATTAACTTGTTCCATATCTGATGTTTTATTGTTATTTTCATCTGATGTTTGATTCATCATTGAACTATTCAGTGAATGTGATGCTAAAAAATAAGGATTTCTTGATAATTCTTGAGCAGCTACTTCTCTTAATACTGGTGATTTTATTCTATAAGGTTGATTGAATGCAGCTTTTTTAGAAATGACATCGATCATTGCCTATAGATGAAGATAGAAAATAAGAACTATAAACAAAGCTGGTAGAAAACCAAATTTGATAAGACTGTATTGTGAACCGCGGGTTGGATACTCTAAATTTTACCGATTGACCAACTGCAGATATCTTAGTACGACCCCAATACTGTTCCCCAATCTCCAATATATCAGAACACGAAGTGTTAGATGAAAATTGTTTATGGGGTCAGGAGAAGAATAATTCTTTACAGACAAATGCATATTTATACAGTTAGGAGGACTGTCAACATTGACCAGTAGGGAAATGACACGTGAAATAAATATTGACTCATAGGAAAATGACACCATTTCACGTTCAAGGATAGCATTAGCCTTACAAGATAATTTTTGGGAGATTTTTTTTTGAAAATCCCAACACCTCTATTTGGGAAACTTAATGGTGACGCAACCGAGGGTTAACTTGAAATTTCTTTGGTTGCTTTCGTTTGCGATCTGACCTCCGAGGTAACCACCCAGAACCAGACGGATGTTCTGCTTTCGCCCCATAAGCATATCAGCAGAGGATTTTAAGTTTGGCAATAAGTTATGTGAGGTCGTCCGGTACACAACTAGAAATCGTTCTATGATATCTTCTGTGGTCCGCTCCCCTAGTGCTTTAAGCAATGCTCGTTTAAATGTATCAACGAACCTTTCAGCTTGTCCATTAGATTGAGGGTGATATGGCGGAAACCGGACATGATTGATCGAGTTTTGCAGGCAAAATTCTCGGAATTGGCTGGATGTGAACTGTGAACCATTGTCTGTTACTATTGTTTCTGGAAGACCATGCTAAGCGAAGATCTGATTAGGGAGTTTGATGGTTCGAGTTGTAGAGAGTGGCGAAATCGGCAATATCTCCGGCCATTTCGAGAAGGAGTAAATCAGTATCAGATATGTGGCACCATCTAGGGGTCTGACGAAGTCAATATGTTCTCGCGACCAGGGTTTTTCTGACTTTGACCAGGGTACTGGAGGCAATATAAGGGGATTTTTTTCGCAGCTGTTTGACAATGTGAACATCTTTTAACGAAGCCGACAATCTGTTAGTCCATATTCTGCCAATATGCATAACTGAGAGAAATGGATTTGATAGGGTTTATCCCTGGGTGTCCAGTCGGCAGAGTATGAGACTTATAATCTCAGGGTCGTGGGTTCGAGACCCACTTCGGGAGCCAGATGGTATTATCACGTTATACATTAACAGGGCACTCAGGCCACAAGTTATAACAATTGGCGACGAGGTAAAAAAAAGTACGGTCCATAGCCAGTCTGCAATTAGACGAAATTCAGTCTGATCATTCGACCAATCAGCACCCAGATTGTCATTAGTGTCCTTGAACGACATTGGTCATTGGTTATACAGTGATTTTCATTACCGGTGCTGATTCAAAAAAACTCTCCCTTCCGATCGATTACAACTGTCATTTGAACGGCATTTGGAGTTCTTAGTCAAATTACGCACACAGCTGCTGAATCCACTCATGCTTTGGAGATGCGACGGGAGTGGATGGATTAATTTCTCAATTGTACGCTGAGCTGGAAAATGATTGCAGCCTCCATGAATCCTCGATAAACCGTACTTCAAACGAAACAGCAGTCATTTAATATCCGCCCAGTGGTCCAGTACTCTTCATTTCAGAAACATGCCAGGTAATGGATTCAAACTCCATTATCCCCGAACCAGCATATGCAGACAGTGACTTATCCAGCTCACAAAAATATTCCCTGTCAAATGTTTATGGAATTGCTGCAGTGACTGTCCATGAAACAGGAAACAAATCGTGCAGTACACTGAATGCAGCTACTCCAAACAGATCTCATCATTCTGCGACAGAAGTTTCTGACGAATCTAATTATCGAGATTCTCTTTTACCAGGAAATAAGTCAGATGCATCAAATGATGATCAGAAACTTAATACAATTTTGATAGATGCTGATTACCTTAACGATCCATTATCTACAAATGAAGCTCCCAATAAAAGTGATAACAATATTTCAGAAGATTCAAACTCTGATGACCTCAAGTTAAATGGTGTTTATCAATTTTACTGGATTCTCTGTTCAATATGTTTTAAATACAGTCAGATTAATTGTAATTTGGGTATGTGAGGACCCAACATTAATTTGCGGGTGAGGATGAACTCGGAAAATTTAAAATCCGGATCTTCAAAAAGGGTAAGTGTGTTATGCCCTGATAAGAATAATGAGTGGTAATTTTTGGGATCCATTTGTGGACCAATACTATACGTATAATTTTATTGTATAATTGATAATTAACTAAACTATTCATATTCATGTCTCCCTTATCATAAGCTTTATTTTGACCTATGAACAATCATTATACGTTTTACCATTCTTGGATTACGCCCTGTCTATTAATTACTACCTCCCTCATTCACAACTACTTTTGGCCGAATTTCGTACAAATGTTATTTTCTATTTTATGGTACGTTGTGGTCTGCTTGTTTGGTATATAAACCGAGTATGTTTGAAATGCATGATTCATATTGCAGAGGCTTGAATCGGTGTTCTGGACTCAACTGACTGGGCTAGGCAGGAAGCGGGGCCAATCAGGACTCTAGGCTGCTCGCACGTGTTTTACGCGTCATTGATCCGATCGATAAGTCACTGCTCTCTGATTGGCAGTATTATTACGTTATACATTAACAGGGCACTCAGGCAACAAGTTATAACAGATTCTAACTGAATTATTCATATGTTAGAACCCAATATATCCTTTAGCAATTGTTGTTCGATAGAAAGTGAGATGATAACAATAATCCATAAGGTATAGTTTCACTACTTCATCAATTGATTTGCCATGCTTACCTAGTACTCGTTTCCTAACAACTATATTAATTACTCAGTGGTCCCAGGATATACGAAGCAATGTTTCGAAGACTCCTATGATCGAATACTAGTAACCTACGAATATCATCTACTCTTACCGGCCATGTTTCACTGCCATAAAGTAGGACGGAACGAACTGCTGCACAGTAAACCCGTCATTTGGTTGGTAGACGAATATCTCGCCTACGCCATAAATGACGCAAGTTGGAAAAAGCTAGTCGAGCCTTCTGTATCCGTGGTGAGATTTCGTCACACACCAGACCACAAGGGCTGATGAGACTTCCAAGATAAGTGAAGCGGTTGGTACGCTCAACTACTTCACTCCCTATCATTAGTTCGGGTGTCGATGCAACCCAATTCTGAAGCAACATTTTGCATTTCGATGGAGAGAATCTCATATCGAACATGCCTGCATTGTTACTTAGAGTGATCAGAAGACTCTGCATTTTGTCAGCGTCTTCATTAAATAGGACTATGTCATCGGCATATTCTAAGTCAACAAGTGGATCTCCCGGTAGAAGTTCAACCCTTAGAAATTTGGATGAGGAAAGTGTTATCTCTAAAAGCACGTCAACGATAAAATTAAACAAGAATGGAGAGAGTGGACAGCCCTGATGAATACCACTTGAGGTAATCAGTTCTGATGACAGTTCGCCATAAGCTCTCACTCGACCAGTTGTGTTCGAGTAGAGAGCCTTTATAAGGTTAATGTCCTTGTTTGGTACTCCTTTCAGTGACAAACACTGCCATAAAACCTCATGATCAACAGAGTCAAATGCCCAGATTCTAATCTTCTGAATTGTTTATGTCCCTTTCTTTTTTTCTCTTTCCGAATTTATTTCACTGGATTATACTCCTTGAATAACATCTTCAAACCATGATCTTTCCGATCAATGCTTATACTTTTACTACCTCTACCACTATGGGATTTGAATCGACAATTGTATCGGTATGCTAATGTGATATGGCACCTCGAACTGATGTACGTACGTACGAAGTTCTACGTTGTTACTGACTGATTACATATAGGTGCTTACCACTATATCGCGACTAAATAATATTCGTACCTGAGTATAAGTGTTTAAACTAATGACTAATTTAATCATTTGATCAAATAATTCTTTATTTTAAATGCATTCGGTATTGTCTGTTTAAATCTTCCGATTGATGTCTAGGATTCTGCTTGATCAGTCTATTATTGGCATATGTGCTTTCGATGCGGATCATTTCATTGCACAAGCTACTGGCTATCAGGACTCAGTCGCTAAGTGGATAACGTGATGGTCTTTGAAGCAACCGGTACTCGGTTCGTGTCCTAGAATGAACATCAACTCTGAGATGCAGGTACATCCAGCTGACTAGTGCCAAATAGGACGAAACGTGCGTGAAACTGGATTTCACTGATAATCACTTTACATCTTTGCTTCTAATCCTTTATTTCGTTATCAAAATGATTAACTATTCAATAAATGCCTTATTCTAGATATGGATACGTAAAAGCAAAAAATTCAATAGTGTTTAGATAATGTTAAAGTCGTTGAATACGTCTTGGTGACACAAAAAGTATAGGTTCGTACTATATTAACAGTCGAGTCAATCATGGATCGATTAAAGTTGAACATTAACACCTTTGGATTCTAGCTCAATAGTCTAGAGGTTAAGGATTCACGCGAGAGGTCAAAGGTCCTGGGTTCGAGTTCCGTGTGCGGAATCGTAGATGTGCACTGTTGAGGAGTCCAGTACTTGGACGGAGCATCCGTTCGGTGCTTCCAGTTTTTCAATTATGGTCTAGCTTAGATCGACTAGTGAATTTCAGTTGTGTAAATTATTCAACAAACAATAGAATTGTATACACAATACATCGACTTTTTGGTAGCAACCTAAAAGAAAATCAAACATACACCTCAGAATAATCATAGAGTCGTATACCACATATGCTTCCTGCTTCATCAATTTTGGTAATTTTCTAGTAATTAAACACGCATTACAAACTTGAACAGTGATTATGGTAGCTATTTAAGACTGTTATGATGCAGAAAGCTGTACTGTAGTCAGTAAACGATTAACGTGTTTACCATGATAAAGATATGACAATATCCGTTCTAAAACATAAATAACATTATTCTACCTGCTGACTTACAACTTTACTTTACAATTCGAAATCTTGGAAACAAGTACTTATTAAGTTTCATATAGGATGAAATTATTAGTTACCAATGAGCCAAAGAGTAAGAGAAGCAGTCTAAGAATACAAAAAACTATGAACAAACTCAAATCTCCAAGCGTTTTGGATGAAGACATTAAAAATTACTCATTATAAAAATATAGAATCAAAGCATTAGATATAGATAAATGAGTAGAAATGGGGAAATTGTGAGAACAACTCCATTCACAGTTATAGTTATATAATATACTATTGTAGGCCAGGGTATAGTTACATTGGTTTTCAAAAGAACTAGACACCATCCAGACTTTCACGTGACAACCCAAACAGTACAGCTCAATCCCGTTTAATAGGAGAGCCAGACGCCATATAGGTTTTAATGCTACAATCTGAATAATACAGCTCAATCGTGTGGCGCAACCACACAGGTATCAAGCTTGTTGGTGAATCAGAGGACTTCTCTATGGTAGATAATTATTTATATTTTCACTAAATATTCAATGGATACTTGATATACATCATTTTAAGAATTCTGTAATTTGAACCTTTCGTTTATTCCATAACCTACTGAAATGTGTTCATCATTCACAAATTAACATTGATTGATTGTGTACATCGTACTATTTACAGTTTGTGATTTCCCACTTATGTATGGTGTGTGCGTGTGAGTGTGTGGTAGTCTTATGGCAGATGTATAGATGTACACTACATGCGATTTCGAGTCCTTAGTAATAAGAGATAAACTGGTAGATTTTCCTCATGTAGTGATTGATCATTTAGAATAGAAGTATCCATATGGATCAATTATGATTAGGATATCCATTGTTTGTCGATAATGATTGATGAGATTGATCGAACAAACATCAATTGTATTACTGGCTCAATGGTTAAGGGATTTCTCGTGTTTTGGTTATGCAGATGAAGAACAGAATGAATTTCTATCTGTCCATTAACGTTGTAACATTCAATGTGAACAAATAGATAAAAATAACACCATTTATATTACTGATGTAAATTGAACACTAAGATTACAGGATCCTAATTAAGTGAACTAATCGACGTTGAATTCAACGCTAGAAGCTAATCATCATTAAGGGTAGTCAATAAATATGAAAATAAATGGAAAAAAGAAAACTATTTTTAAACATCACCTTTTTATTTCTTTGATCTATTGAAATAGTTTTGGGTCTACTCTTGCGATGTTCAGCATGCCTATATTTTGATAACAAATATATTGAATTACGTAAGATTTTATGTAACTTCTCAATACAAAAATAAACATATGATCTGTTATTAACAAACTTTACAATTGATTCAATAGTTGAATTCATGATTGAATTGATGCTAGATCATCATGGGAAACCTTGAAACACTGGACGGCCATTTCATACAAGTATGGGACTTTTGAAGAATGAACATTTATGATGCCGTCTCACGGAATTCGAACCCCGAAACTTATCGATCTCGTGTGCGAACGCTTAACATCTTATAATTCTGTGACATTTAATACATATAATTCAATTTTAGTTACATTATAAATGTGTGTTTTATGATGTAATTATGACGGCGAATTAGATAAATCATTGAATAATTTACTCTGATAGATCAAATCATAAAACAATTATCCATTGGAATCAATCAAATTACTTAACAGTATCAAAATATTGTTCTCAAATGCCCTGATACGGCCGAGAGTTGTAAGAGTCCACCCTCTGTGTCGAAATACTCTCACATAGTCACGCGTATACATCCAAGGAAGTCCTATTCACTGCCTTCTTAATTTATTACTATTGATTACGAAATTGAGAAGACAAAAGGTGAATATCCGGCACTTTAACTGACTTGGTGGATATGGAAGATCCATCTAGGGGAGTTGGAAAACCCTAATTTCAAACCAGTATCCTAAAGGAACAAATGGCGTATGAATCAATTATTAGTCACCGGTTACAATGTGATTACATCTCCTGACGTTTCTCCACTACCATGTGAATCAGATCTTTAGGTTGAACGCTCCGAGTGTGGCTCCCTAATAAAACCATCTACTTCGGTTTGATCTTTCGGTCAGTATCACAGCCCACACACAAATCATGTGACTTGTGTAGTGCATATGTGTATCTGGGGCCCTTTTGTACCAATTTGAAATAAATAAATTACTGATTCATTAGCTTTATCATCAAAAATGAGTAATGGCTAGCCATGGAATCCAAGATACGCGTTTCGTCCTATATGAGACTCGTCAGCTGAATGTATTTCATTCATTAATCAATTGTCATTAATTTGTAATATATTTCAATTATTTCCAGTCAACTACTTTCATAAAATAAAAATCTTTATCATTAACTTACATAGATTTTGATAATAAAGTTGGACTCATTTTATTATCATTTAAAGGTGAATTATTAGGATTAGCTTTATTATGTAATTCTTTTATAGAGTTAAAACGAGTTAAACAATTTGTAAAACGTTGAAAAGTTGGTAAATTGGATTGAATTGTAGTAATCAAATTATTTTTTATTTCAGGTGATTGTTGTGTAGATCTTCTTATTTCATTTGATTTTATAATAAGTGAACGACCTACAATAAAATGAAATGATATAATTGATAAGTCTTAAGATTTTGAATGCTATACTCGATTCCCTAAGCTATTCTTGAAAACCCCCGAAGCTAGAACTATACAGCGATCTGAACACGAAAGAGAAAGCGCAAAGTATGTGAAAAGTACTTCACTTCAAGGTTCTATTTTTGTACAGAAAAGCATGGGTATTTATTTAGATGTTAATATTTGTTGAATCAAAATCATATTTTGGTCAATCCGCTAAAAGACATATTATGCTATTGATCAATAGTAGTACGCCATGTTGGAATTCTAGAAAGCTCTATCGTGCTCTGATTGACTAAGACTCTTTGGCTCTTACAGGGCCTCCGGAGGCTTTGTTGCAATTCTCGGAAAGCCGAATTAACAATAACAGATATATAATGTATGTCTTGTAATGTTAAAGTATCAATGAATTAGGTATGGTATTTACTATCGATTGGTGATACATACTACTTATATCTATCGACGTCAGGAGCACCCAATACCTTCGACCCCTTTTTAAAGCAGTCGTTCTGCTTGTCATGACAATTTTATTTTCTGCAGTCTGTGACACGCCCTCCGTCGAAATGTCGACTCTGAGACGCATTGACTTTCACAACTCCGTCAGGCCACCGAAACTCAATGTCCGCCCAGTAGCCGCACATCCTACCGCTCCTCTCCGTCTACAGCACCCACTAGAGATAACGTCGCCCTACCAGAATATTCCACTCGACGTTACCACCTCGCACCTGACCGCCCCAACTAACACCTCAACTCCAGGTCTGAAACGCCGTCCGCAGAATAGCACCTTTCCCCACCTGATTGACAGAGACACCTTATGTAGTAATCAGCTGGGGACAATCGAATGCATTTGAAAACGAAACCACATAACATCTTAGTAAAATCTGAGAATCATAGAGTAAATATTTCTGTCACAAAATGTCAATCAAGTGTCTCAGACTTCATTATTCCTTTATTTCTACAGCAATCATCCTTTGTATTCATTTTTTTTCTTTGATTTTCTTAACCTTCTACATCCAGGCATTCCACTTTCAATTGATGATAACTACTACTTATACCTATCAACATCAGTAGTACACATCACATTGTAGTTTTCTCAATGAAATTGTAATTTGGTTACTTCATCTAAGAAACTTGATATTACAATAAATTCTGTTGATATTCATTAGTAGGAGCCAAATAAGGAGAAAAAACAAATACTAAGAATGTAGAATTTATGGTACTCGATACTTGAATTGTAATAGATGTCTGAAATCTTTAATAAACTGATATTCCCTGTATAATTTAAGTCTATTCCATTACTCAATATCAAAATTTTGAATACTTACGTTCTTTAATTTTATTTAAATGCATTCTACGTATTTGTGACAATCTAGCATTACGTCGTAATGTGATCATACTCTCTGAAGATGTTGTCGATAATAATACAGGTAATTCAACACGATAAATATAATTCCTACCAAAAGGTAAAGACGATGATGATGATGACGATGATGATGATGATTTATTTAAATTTGATTCTTTCTTCTCATTATCATCTTTATTATCATTTGTTGAATCAATGATTTTATCATTCATCTTTATTCTTTTTGTAATGATCGGCAATATATGATCTGGTTCATACTGTCTCCGTTGTTGTTGTTGTTGTTGTTGTTGTTGATGTTCTTGATCCGATTGATTATTTCCACTTGGATCTAATGATCCTTGATCTCCTTCACTGAATTGATCATTTCGATCATTTTTCAAATTCATAATTTCTTTAAATAATTCATAATATTTTAATAAACATATTGTAAATACGGTTAAACCATCATCAGTTAATTGATTAATATTTGCACCAAAATCCAATAAAAGATTCACTAATTTCATATTCCATGTTAACTAAATTAAGCGTGAAATGGAAACAAGATAAAGTAATACTAGTTAGTAGTATAAATAATTGTTGTTTTAATTGAGATCATGAACCGATTGATGTTAGACCACTGTTGGAAATCTGGATGCACTGGACGGCTGTTTTGTCCCATTTTGAGACTCCTCAACAGTACGCATAGAATGAAACGGTCATCTAGTGCTTCCAAGTTTTTAACGGTGATATAACACCAATCGATTGATGATCTTAACCAAAAACCCCTATACTAATGATATAAATAAATAAATAATATTTTTCAATAGTTGAAATCATGAATCAATTGAAGCTAGACCATCATGGAAAACCTGGAAGCACTGGACGGCCGTTTCGTCCTAGTATGGGACTCCTCAGCAGTGCGCACCCACGATCTCTACCCCCCCGCAGGATTCGAACCCAGTGGAGTTCAATTAGGTCTGTTGTGAGATATCAGTTCACTGAAGACAATGGTGACGGTTGCACAACTTCGTGGATTGGTTGAAATTAGACATTAACACCGTTGGATGTTGGCCGGCTCAGTGGTCTAGTTGGTTAAGCGCCTGTCGCGAGACTGGTAGGTCCCAGCTTTTCCATGATCGTCTAGCTTTAAATGACTAATGATTTCAACTATTGAAATTACCAATTCTCCACAAAATCCCTTCTAATATATTTGTAAATATCGCAATGATTGGAAAAATTGGACTTTCTGATGTTTCGTGACTCAGTGTAAGCCACTTCTTCAGAGTATAAATAGATAGCCGAAATCAAACCTAAGTCAAGTTTAAATCGTACAAAGGAACAAAACAAGAATATTAGGTGCGATCAATCAAAAAAACAGGTCTGAAAAAGTCAGTGTTATGTCATTTCGGTCAAGGTGATTCATAAGTGACATGTAAGTAAATTTGTGTGTGTGTGTGAACGTGACCTTTATGGTGAGAAAGGATAGTTCAAGTAGGATGTATAGTAACGGCTTCTTTTCTATTGAGTGCAATAGGATTAAGCATTCTATGGAACGCTTCATCTAATTCTCCTTTCTTTATAATTCGTAAAATCTTTTTATAATATTTTCATATATTTGAAATCAATTTGGTAGTGGTTGAAAATGACTTGAATGGCTATTGTCTATTTAATTTGAAGTCTATCCAATTCTAAGGGATTATTACATGGTTTCTTTGTGTACCTAATATATTCTTTGAATTGAGTCAAAATTTCCTAATAGTGACCTTCCAATATAGAAAATGTTGGGGTATTCAGAAAATACCCCAGAAATTATCTAATGCTATTCCTGAATGAGAAGTAGTGTCATTTCCTCATTTGGTCAACATTCTTCCAACGTGTCATCTCCTTATTGGTCAATATTTATTTGTGTCATTTCCTGAAGGTTAAATCTTGTACAAATGTTACTTTCTATTTTATGGTACGATGTAGTCTGTTGGTTTGGTATATAAACAGTGTATGTTTGAAATATAACGATTCATATCTCCGAGGCTGAGACTTGTGTTCTGGACTCAATTGGCTGGGCTACACAGAGAAGCAGGACCAATCAGGACTCTAGGCTGCTCGCTCGTATTTTATGCGTCACTGTTCCGATCGATAATAGGCTGCTCTCCAATAGGCGGATCACACGTTATAACAATTGGCGACGGGGTAGAAAAAAAATTTCTGAACCCTCAATCTTCAACGTTGACCTGTAATTGGACGAGATTCAGTCTAATTATTTCGAGCAATCAGCATTCAGTTTTGTCATCGGCGTCCTTGAAAGACATTGGTCGTTAATTAATCATACAACATTTCTCATCACGTGCTGATTCAGGAAATGGCTATCTCTCCCGATCAATTACAATTGCTATTTGAGCGACAGCAGCTGCGGTTCAAAAATAGCCAGCTGAATGTTTTAGACAATTTACGTACACGGCTGCTAAATCATCCATGTTTTGGAGATGTTACAGAAGTTGATAAATTAATTTCTAATTTGCATACGGAGCTGGAAATTGACTGCAGTACATATGAATGCGTTGATAAAAGTCTCTATGAATCCTTGATGAGCAGTAATGTAAGTGAAGCTCTCTAATAGGCGGATCACACGTTATAACAGAAAGCATCACAATTGATACAACCATGATTTGTAAATGCAATTCTATGTGAACCTGAAAGGGTCTTTTTCTTTTAAACGAATTAAAGTATTTCGAAATGTGTTCGCTGTTTTGTAATATACTTTAATTCTGTGTTGTTTTAAGATTCTTTAAAGTTCTTCTGTTGTGTCATGACAGTATGATAAAACTGCAGTATCAATTCATAGCATTTCATTTGAATTATTGGTATTACGTAATGAAACGTCCTATTCCGATGAAATAATCTTGTTAGCCCTTCTATAAAGAGTTAAGGCTAGGGAGATCTTTGTACTGAATGGATATGATGAATTGAAGTCAATCTAACGATATAAAGGTGTAGGTTTTCGGTAGATCGATAAATTTAGTATTCTATTTTGATTACTTTACACTAAGTAGCCTAAAAATGGTTATTCACCATGTTCATTTTCATTCTCATTCATAAATTTGATGTGCAATGAAAGTTTATTGAGTCGTTTTGATAAAGCTCTTAGATAAGTATTTTTTTATTACAACAAAGCTATTCTCTACATATCTAAGCCATATTAGAGGTTTAATGTCGTTGGCGAAAATATTTGATTCTATGTGTGGCATAAACAGGTTGGCTACAATTGACGATACGGGGGATCTCGTTGCTACACTATTAGTTTGTTTGCAGACAGTCCCGTTGAAAAAGTAAATATTGTCGGATTTAATAATATTCGTTCTACTATTTAAACTTGGATTAATTTTGATTTCGTTATTTATTCTCTGAAGAAGCGGCCTACACTAAGTTACGAAACGTTGGAAAATCTAATTTTTCTACTCATTAGGATATTACAAATACATTAATTTTTTTACAACAATCTACCGAATGCTCAATTTATTCGCAATTATCAAATCAAACCTTGGTAATGATATCTACAATGATCAGTAGTATATTTGTATTCACATTCAAATATATCACAGATAGAAATTCATTCTGTTCTTCATCTGCACAACCAAAACACGAGAAATCCCTTAACCATTGAGCCAGTAATCCAATTGATGTTCGTTCAACCAATCTCACTAATGATCACCAACAAACAATGGATATCCTAATCATAATTGATCCATATGGATACTTCTATTCTAAATGATCAATCACTACATGAGGAAAATCTACCAGTTTATCTCTTATTACTAAGGACTCGAAATCGTATGTAGTGTACATCTATACATCTCCCATAAGACTACCACACACTCACACGCACACACCATGCATAAGTGGGAAATCACAAACTGTAAATAGTCGAATCATTTGTCGTAGAAAACTGAGTACGATGTACACAATCAATCAGTGTTAATTTGTGAATGATGAACATATTTCAGTAGGTTGTAGAATAAACGAAAGGTTCAAATCATTGCATTCCTAAAATGTTGTATATACCATATGGTGGTTCTACTCCCAAATGCTCTGGCTTGCCCGATATTGGGTAGAGTCAGCTCTCTCACTTGAAATACTCTGACATTGCCACATGCATACAACCACTGCCATAGAGGTCCTACTCGCTGTCTTCTCGTACCAGTGGTGTTGTTTACGAAATTAAGACGATGAGAAGCGAATTTCCGACACTTTAACCGGGCTGATGGATATGGAGGATCTACCTAGGGGAGTTAAAAAATCTTGATTCCAAACCAATATTGTACATGGGCTCCAGGATCCTGGTATTGATTTGTTAAACTAAAAAACAACTAATAGGTATTCAGCAATAACAGAAAAAAGTTTCAATTTGATTATTGAATTATTTTAAGACTAATGTTTAAGATCATGCATTACATTTCCAAACCTGTATTGATTTTAAGAGAAGTAATGCTCAGTCTGTAATTATTCCATACCATTATCTTAACACTATCCACGACAACTGGACTTTTATTTATTCACTCTTCAACACATAAAACATACACATTCGAATTCCTGTGTTTGAATCTTGCGAGGCGTAATCGTGAATGCGAACTGACACTGATGAAGCCTCAGAATAGGACGAAACAGCTATCCAGTACTTCTAAGTTTTTCATAATGGTGATGGTCTAGCTCCAATTGATTCATCATTTCAATTATATTGAAATGATATCAATCGTTAATGTAAACTAACTATTAATTATCCATATCACTTACCACAGCACCTAATAAACCAAATTGTCCATGATTATCAGTAACATTTGGATCAATACAATATTGATTTATATTTGTTTGATTTTCAATTTGTAATAAATTTCTAACTTGATCAAATAATCCATTAAAACAATATTGAATAAATTGTATTGATAATGTTTCATATTTACCGGTTAATTGATTTGTTGTATTCATTTCATGTTTTAAGGTTTGTTTATTAGATTTCTTTAAAACTTTTTTTGATAATTTATTCCATATAATTGACCATTCATTAATAAACAATTGTTTGTTTAAATTATTTTCAAGGTCATGATATCCATGTTTGTTATTTTCAAGGCCATGATATTCATGCTTACTATTTTCCAGGTCATGATGCCCATGTTTGTTATTTTCAAGGTCATGATGATCATGCTTACTAATTTCAAGGTCATGATTATGTTCTTTAACAGGTACATCATGAATTCCATGATGAATTGATAATCTATACCAATCAATAGTTTGACATGATTTACGTAAAAAATTTTGTAAATAAGCAATTTGTGTTATATATGATCTCATATCCACTAAACAAACTGTTTGATTTTGTTTAAATTGTGAACTGATAAAAAGAGAGAATAAGATAAGAATAAGTTAATTTAGGTTTATATATTCCAGTGGTTGAAATCATGAATCAATTGAAGCTAGAACACCATGGAAAATCAGGAAGCACTGGACAGACGTTTTGTTTTTGTTGTGGAACCTATAAGTCACACACGGTAGCACTTAACCACTAGACCACTGAGCTGACTGGCATCCACAAGTGTTAATATCTAACTTCAACTAGTCCACGAAATTTAGTGACACATCCACCATTGATATATTTTTTTGGATTATTTTTTATGTAGACCGAAAACTGCGGGGGGATGGAGGGATCGTGGATGCGTACTGTTAAGGTGTCCCACAACAGGACGAAAAGGCCGTCCAGTGCTTCCAGGTTTTCTATGATGGTCTAGCTTTAATTGACTCATGATTTCAACAATTAAAATTACTATAATATCCACAAAAAGCCCTTCTGATAAGTTTATATAATTGAATAAAGAAATGTATTTAAATGAATAATTGTTTAAATTCACTTGGTGTTGTTTTACTTGTATCTCATCATTGTTATTTAGAACTGTAATTGATCAATCACTTGTTAGTATATGTAGTGGGTTTGAATCCCAGATTGAACATCAACAAGTTTGAGATGCAGGTACATCTAGCGGACGAGTCTCAAATAGGAAGAAACGTGTGTAAAACTGGGTTCCATTGCTAGCCACTATTCATCTTTCTCTAGAATGCTTGCGAATGAAGATAATATCGAGACAATATGCACAGTATGCACATATGTGAATATATGCATATATGATCAATTGTATTTTTAAACATCAATAGGAAAATTATGTAAGCAATACCACGTGAATTTAAAACTTCACATTATTGTACCAGCATGCGGCTATCAGTACTTTGTAGCTAAGTGGATGAAGCGATGGCGTTTGAAGCGAACAGTACTGAGATCGAGTTTCGGAGTGAACATCGACTCTGAGATGTAGGCACATCCAGCTGACGAATCCCAAATAGTACGAAATGCGCACCGTGGATTTCACTGTTAGTCACTATCCATCTTTGAATAATTGTTTACTTAATCAAGTTAAGTGAAAAATCAGTTGTTCAGTGATTCTAGATGTATGGTACAAATTGTTTTATATAACTAAGAGCAGATGTTTATTTTTCCCATATCTCGAAAGAAAGTTTCAAGAAATTAGAAAAATCCTAGATCATCATAGAATGCAAAACTTTACTTTTAGGCGAACAATACTGTTTATATGTATGTTATTGAAAACGTTAAGGATATAGTGAGAATGAGAGTACAACAGAATTATACCTATAAGATCATATATACTGACTGTAATGCTATATATGTCAATATTTCAATAAAATGATATATCAATTTAAGTGTTGTGAAGATTGTCAAGTTTTTGATTGAAATCATGAACCGATTGATGTTAGACCACCACTTCAACTGATCCACGAAGGTACTTGGTTCAATTTTCCGCCTATGGAATCGTGAATACGCATTACTGAAGAGTTCAACAATGGAATAAAACAGCTATCCGGTAATTGAAAATCACTTACTCAAATAGAGAATCTTGTTTAGAATAAGTTTCAGATTGTTGTTGTTGTTGTTGTTGTCCTTCTTGTTGTTGTTGTTGTTGTTGTTTAAATTCATTATTTTTTAAATTGGACATTATTGAATAATCGTTTTTATGAATAGATTCCATAGTTACTGATATCTGTTGTAAATTGTTAAAATTTAAATGTGATGATTGTATAGATGTTGGTATACAATGAAGTAAATAATTGAAACTTTGATCTGCTATAAATTTTTCAAATAATGGACTCTTCATATTCCATACTTGAAATGATTGAGGTAAATTACTTTGTTTTAATATCTATAATATTTTTTTTTAAAAAAAAAAATAAGAGAAAAATACAAATTTCGAGAATAATATAAACTATTAACAAGATGTTTTGATTGAGATCATGAATTGATTGATGTTAGACCACCATTGTAAACCTGGAAGCATCGAATAGTTGTTTAGTTCAATTGTTGAACTCCTCTACAGTTCATATCCACGGTCTCGTGGGCGAGATTTGAACGAAGAACTTACATGGATTAGTCAAAGTCATCTGAAGATCGAAGGCCCCTGGTTCGAATCCTGTGGGCGGAGTCTCAAACGTGCACAGATGAGGAGTCTGACAACAGGATTAAACGGCCATGGTGGTCTAGCCTCAATTGATTCATGATTTCAACTATTGCAGTTACTATAATATCCACAAAAACTCCTTCTGTTATTAATCAACATATGCTCACTAGTGACTGACTTCATGAGATATTTCCTGCAGTTCTAGTGCTAAGCAGTGATCAGTGGAGTCCAACCGGGTCTATTGTGAGATAGTGACTGATTAATGACAATGGTGGATGCGTCACTCAATTTGGTGGTTTAGTTGGAGTTAGACATTGGTACTGTTGAATGTCGGCTCAATCGTTTAAAGTTTAAGCGATCGAGCATGAGACGGATAGGTTGTGAGTTCGAATCCCACTACTAAGAAGTCCCATACTAGGATAAAACGATCATCTAGTGATCTCAAGCGTTTCCTGATGATCTAACATCAATTGATTCATGATTTCAACTATTGCAGTTACTATAATATCCACAAAAACCTCTTCTAGTATTAATCAACATATGCTCACTAGTGACTGACTTCATGAGATATTTCCTGCAGTTCTAGTGCTAAGCAGTGATCAGTGGAGTCCAACCGGGTCTATTGTGAGATAGTGACTGATTAATGACAATGGTGGATGCGTCACTCAATTTGGTGGTTTAGTTGGAGTTAGACATTGGTACTGTTGAATGTCGGCTCAATCGTTTAAAGTTTAAGCGATCGAGCATGAGACGGATAGGTTGTGAGTTCGAATCCCACTACTAAGAAGTCCCATACTAGGATAAAACGATCATCTAGTGATCTCAAGCGTTTCCTGATGATCTAACATCAATTGATACATGATCTCAACTATTAAAAAAAAAAATTACTACAATCACTACGAAACCCCTACCTCACCCCACCTCACCCCTTTTTCTTAAAATAACACTATACACTTACATTTTGTATAATTTGAATTAATACTTCAGTTGAATTGATTGAAGTATTATTTATTAATAATGATAATAATAATGATAAAGTTTCATTGAAATAATATTGATCATAATGATAAATTTGTTCATTAATCAATAAATCATTTTGATCTTGTTTTATTGATTTCTGATATTGATTATGTTTAAACATTAATTCTAAATTAACTAATTTATAAAAATTATATTGTGGAAATTGTTTAATAAAATGAAATTCATGATGATGTTGTTTATCATTATTATGTAATGCTGATTTTTTTAAACGAATTAAACGATCATTTTTCCAATAACCAACATTTATTTCATTCATAGTTGATGTTATTGTTATAAATATACCAGGACCATAACGTTGATCATTTAAAAAGAATCCCTATCAAGAAGAAGAAGAAGAAGAAGAAGATAGTGATTGGAAGTAGTCAATGGGAAACCTTGGACCCGAGTTTCATACTATTTGGCACTCATCAGCAAGGTGTACCTGTAATATTGGAGGAACTGATGCTTTATGACCGATTCAATCCCGTTTCACTCAGCTTCACAGTCAGAGATATTATCGCTAAGCTTTTATTAGGCCACGATTGACCTCCTGTAGGACTGAGATGTATTCAAAGATACACCTTGCTGACGAGTGCCAAGTAACACGAAACCTGGGTCCAAATTGCATGCAATATCGAGTCACCTAGACTAATGGCAACATTGTAATTTGGTCGATAATATTCGATCTGCATTAAGAAGGACTTGAAACATATTGACATTGATTACCATCTAGTGATCAATCAATTGTGATTACAAACTGAATTGGTCAGTTAGTCAGTCGGTTACGACCTGAAACTTTGTATATAAGTACAGGTACCCAAATGTCACGTGCATACAACCACTGTCAGGGCATTACTGTTGTTTACGAAATTGAGATGATGAAAAGCGAATGTCTGGTACTTTAACCCGGTTGGTAGATATGGAGGATTCACCTAGAAAAGTTGGAAAACCCTGATTCCAAATCAATGGTTCACATAGGCTCCAGTACCTTCAATGAAAAATATGGAATATAAATCTATTTTTGTGACCGGCGACCATCTGACTGTATCTCCTTACGTTACTCCACTGAAATGTGGATCAAACCTTTAGGTTCAAGGCTCTGGATGTGACCCCATAAGAAAACCACCTGGTTTGGTTTGGGTGCCCAGACAGTATCTCAGGCCTCACACAAATCGAATGATTTATGTTGAGCATATTTATTTGATGCTTTCTTGTACCAATGTTTATGTGTTTAAATAATAATATAAAATAACGTATGTACATCAATTTGGTCTACCGTACTCCGTTAGTATAGCGAGTTGTAGTTGTTATTATAAATTTCAGAGTATCAGAGGTGGTAACAGTATTGGTGGTAATGGGAAAGATTAGGCATCGGAGATACGATTAGGGAAATATATATATAAATTACTGAAGTGAAAAAAATCATGAAAAATTCAAAAGCTTAGAACCTTGGAAAATGAAAAAAATGGATGCATCGGTGCCACTGCAAACGACTGTGGGTCATTTTATCCCAAGTATGTAACCATTAATTGCGATAATCACAAGGACCCCAACCAGGTAGTCTATACCTATTAACATGACTCAGTTTACTTGTTAATGACTTCATAGATTAGTACCATGCTTTCGTCTGGGGGCCGTTAGATATCTTCCAGACCATTTTTATACTAAAAAACATTGCCCATCGCGGTAGGTAGTGGTTGGAAACATGTAACACCATCTCATTTGATAAAGATTTATTACTTTATCAATCGGTTTGCCATCCTTTGCCATTCTTAACCCAGATATTGCCTATTTGGTGGTCTCAAAATATACGAGCAATGTTTCATTGAAATCTATGATCGAGCACCAGTAACCTCCGAATATCTTCTATACTCAATAGCTATGTTTCGAACAAAACTCCGCCTGTGGCTCTTCTACAGTTACTGCCGGTCTCAAGCCCGGGTAAAGGAGGAAGGTTGTGCATGGGGTTAGCGTCCCCATCTCGTAAAAAACTAACTCGCTAAAACAACGCTAACCAGAAAAACGAATTCAAACCATTTAACTCTGCCCTGGGAGTTAGAAGGTCTTCATTTAGAAAAAAATGACGCCTCATGGTGAAAGCCGAGTTCCTTCGAAAGCCATGAGGCCGATGCCCCTTCTAACAACCAGAGCAACAATTTTTTTAAGTAAATGGAACGTCCGGACAATGTGGAAGACTGGGAAGACCAGTCAAATAGCAACAGTAATGAGGAGATACGAATTGGTAGTACTGAGAATCAGCGAAACCCAATGGATACAAGCTGGACAACAAAGACTAAATACGGAAGAGATGCTGCTATACTCGGTCACGAAGAGGAAAATGCTCCATACACTCAATGAGTTCCTCTTATGCTGTTCAAAGTAGCACGAAATGCACTTAAAGAATGGGAATCTTACGGATCCAGAATCATCAAAGCATCATTCAAAACAAAGAAGGAGCGGATCACAATGAACATTATCCAATGTTATGCACCCACCAATGATAGCAGCGACGACGTTAAAGATCAATCTTATGAGAGGCTGCAATCAATCATATAGAAGTGCCCAAGAAAGGACCTCACCATTTTGATGGGAGATCTAAACGTCCAAGTCGGAATAGACAACACCGGATATGAAGATATCATGGGACTACATGGACTGGGAGAGAGAAACGAAAACGGGAAAAGTTTTCAAATCTGTGTGCATTTAACAAATTGGTCATAGGCGGCACAATATTTCCACACAAACATATACACAAAGCTACATTGACGTCACCGGACCACACCACAGTAGACTAGATAGATCATATTTGCAGCAATAAAAAGTTCCGAAGGACAATGGAACATGTGAGAACCAGGAGAGGAGCGGACATAACTTCAGATCACCACCTCGTTGTGGCCAATTTAAAACTGAAGCTAGGGAAGAACTGGACAACTGGACAAACAGCACTGCAAAGGTTCAATACAGCCTTCCTTCGAGTTACTGACAAACTCAATGAATTAAAGATAGCCCTCAGCAACAGGTTCCAAGCCCTACAGGATCTACCAAAGCAAGAAGAAATTACTATGGAGGATAACTGCAAAAAGTATCAAAGAAGCATTAACTTCAACATAACAAGGGGAAAACCGAGGTCCTCAAATACAACACAGAGAACAGCAATCCATTTACTCCTGATTGACAAACTCTGGAAGATGTTGAATCTTTCACGTACTTGAGAAACATCATTCATCAACAAGAAGGATCGGATGCAGACATAAAAGCGAGGATTGGCAAAGCAAAGGCAGTATTCATTCAATTGATGATCATATGAAACACAAAACAACTGTCAATTAACGTCAAAATCACAATCTTCAATACGAACGTCAAAACAGATCTACTGTACGGAGCTGAAACTTGGAGAACTATTACAACCACCATCAAAATGATACAAGTATTTATAGATAGTTGTCTATGCAAGATGCTCAATATCCGTTGGCCGGACACCATTAGCAACAGCCTTCTGTGGGAGAGAACAAACCAGCTTCCAGTTGAAGAGGAAATTAGGAAAAGACGTTAGACGTAGATAGGACATACATTACGGAAATCATCAAACTGCACCACGAGACAAGCGCTAACTTGGAATCCTGAAGGGAAGCGAAAAAGTGGAAGGTCGAAGAACACATTACGTTGGAAAATAGAAGCGGATATAAAAAGGATGAATAAAAACTGGGAAGGACTGGAAACGATTGTCCAGGACAGGGTTGGATGGAGAATGCTGGTGAGCGGCCTATGCTCCTACGCGAGGAGTAACAGGCGTAAGTAAGTAAGTAAGTAAGTAAGCAATGTTTCGAACAAGTAGAGCGGAATGAATTACTGAACAATGAACTCATCCTTTGGTTAGTAGACGGATATCCCGGCTACACAATAAGTGTCGCAAGTTGGCATAAACCAACAGATCCAAAATTAAAGATAAAGAATTCCATTCAAGTTTCAGTTATCGATCCTTTAGTTCTTAACACAGCGACTAATTTGTAACATGGTCGTCATGATACATAAATATCTTGGAATATATTTTGAAAATAGACCTTGGTGAATATGTGGTGCGCACTACTTATATTGATATAAGTAGTATATAATGCAAGTTAAAACGTAATGTCTGATTATAAAATGAGTTAGTACTCTGAAAATCTTGTTTGTTTTCATGGTGGATTTGTGAGCATGTACATCAACACAATTCAAATTAGTGGATCAAAAGGGTTGAAGGTACTGTGATAGTAGCATTGTGAGTATAAATCTCTTAGAAGTACTAAATTCTGTCAAAAAGAACATAGGCATTGTCTCATTGATAATTTGACTATTGTCAGTTTGTGATGACGTCTATCTCTGAGTACAGAACTTTTTATTTCATTTTGTTACCACTATTTTTTGTTTTAATTTTCATCTTTAAAACCATCGATAATCACGAACTGAATTCTTCATCGGACTTTTATCTCTCACTGAAAATGCTTTACTTTTAGTGCAGAAAGTTAATATTTAGATATGTATATAGACGTCTCGTCAAATTAGTGACAAATGGCGATGATCCTTCATTGTTATCTATAATGCCCATCATATTCCATCAGTCGTATTTATTTACTTACACCTGTTACCCTACGTCAAGTAGCATAGGCCGCCCACCAGCACTCTTCATCCGATCCTGTCCCGAACATTAATTTCCAGTCCTTCCCAGTTTTTATTCATCCTTTTTATATCCGCTTCTATTTTCCAACGTAATGTGTTCTTCGACCTTCCACTTTTTCGCTTCCTTTCAGGATTCCAAGTTAGCGCTTGTCTCGTGGTGCAGTTTGATGATTTCCGTAATGTATGTCCTATCTACGTCTAACGTCTTTTCCTAATTTCCTCTTCAACTGGAAGCTGGTTTGTTCTCTCACACAGAAGGCTGTTGCTAATGGTGTCCGACCAACGGATATTGAGCATCTTGCATAGACAACTATCTATAAATACTTGTATCATTTTGATGGTGGTTGTAATAGTTCTCCAAGTTTCAGCTCCGCACAGAAGATCTGTCTTGACGTTCGTATTGAAGATTTTGATTTTGACGTTAATTGACAGTTGTTTTGTGTTTCATATGATCATCGATTGTATGAATACTGCCGTTGCTTTGCCAATCCTCGCTTTTATGTCTGCATCCGATCCTTCTTGTTCATCAATGATGTTTTTCAAGTACGTGAAAGATTCAACATCTTCCAGAGTTTCTCCATCAAGAGTGATTGGATTGGCGTTCTGCGTTTTGTCTCTATGGTTATCGATTTTTTCTCTGTGTATGTTGAGGCCTACTAATGCATAGGCTGATGCTACATTAGTTGTCTTCATCTACATTTGTTCATGTGTATGAGCTAGAAGAGCCAGATTATCTGTGAAGTCAAAATCTTCTAAATGATTCTGAGCTCTTCGTTGTATTCCGTTTTTTTCCCTCAAGTTTTCAAGGTGTTCATAATCTTCCATCAGTTACCAATAGATTATAATTCCATATACACTCAAAACTAAACAATAAAAATATCATCCAATATACTTAAGTAATATTAATTACAATGGTTAAGATCATGAGTCAGTTGAAGCTAGACCACCATGGAAAACCTGGTAGCACTGTACAGCCATTTCGTCCTATTATAGGACTCCTCAACAGTGCGTATCCATGATCTTTCTCACGGGATTCGAACACAGGACCCTCAGTCTTACTTGCGAACGCTGTACATCTTGACCACTGAGCTAGCATCCAACGATGTTAATGTCTAACTTCAACTAATTCATGAGATTGTTTAATTAACTAAAGAAATATCACTGACCTCATATATTGAATCATTTGAATATCTCATAATTCCATAACCTGATCTTTTATCAAGATAAAATGTACCCAAATAATTTGATCCATTAGGCCATACATAATAACCATAACCATGTTTTTTATCATTGAAAAATGTTCCAAAATATTTCTAAAATACGTAAAAAAATGTATTTACATATTATTTATAATACTGTTGCTTAAGTAAAGGTAAGTTTAAATTGCGTACTGACTTTTGGATAGAAAATCGGTTAAACCTATAAAGTACTGAATAGATGATTCATTCTAATATGTGACTCTATAGGAATGGATGTCCACTATTCAAATAGGGTTAAACACATATTAGAGTTACTTTAGCTCCATAAACTCACTGACATACATACTCTGGTCATTCATAATATCTTCCTCAACCAGACCAATGTTTAGTCTTTACTTCCACAATTCTGAAGTAATTCGCTAACTGTTCATAAAGCCAAGTGTTAAAAGTTTATATTTACTGCACAATTCAACCTATCAGTCACTGGTTTGAAAGATTTATGTTGTCTTAGTAACATTAATCTTTCTTAGAATTGTGTTGTTTGTATCTTAACAAAATATTCAGTATTTGGTTGATTTCAAAGTTGAGTAGCATTTTAAACTGTCTCATATCATGAACTAGTTACAGTTGGTCAATCAATGAGAATCAGAGGTAATTGGAAAACTGTTTCATTTAGCTTACAACAATTCCTAATATCTTTCATTTTGTACTTTGGAGAGGTTATAGTCATAAATTGCTGAGAGGTTTCAAGGTAGAATGAGTTATTCTGACAGTAACAACGTAGAACTTCATACGTACGTACATCAGTTCGAGTTGCCATACGACATTAGCACAGAGATACAATTGTCGATTCAACTCCCATAGTGGTAGAGGTAGTAAAAGTATAAGCAATGATTGGAAAGATTATGGTTTGAAGATGTTATTCAAGGAGTACAGTCCAGTGGAATAAATTTGAAAAGAGAAATTTAAGAAAGTGAATAAACCTTATAAACTAATCAAAATCAAAAATTAGTCTCAGTTGCACAGATGTTTAATTCAGTAGTTTCTTTCCATAGAATTTCCGTCGATTTCATTTTTTTTTACAGTTTTTAAACTCATCCGGTTGTCCTTTATTTACGTTTTTAAAGTTTGTTCATTGTTCCAACGGTTTGCCGAAAGTTTTATTTGCCATTAGTTTCCCCCTATTTTATAAATTAGTAACACCCTTAAACGTAATTATCAGGAAATTGAACAACTGACAACTTTTACTGAATTGAAAGTTGTCTTGAGATAATCCAACGACTTCTTAAACTCTTTAACTTTACTTTATGGTTCTATAAAGAACTTTACAAAATTGTACATTGGTTGAAATGATATTTGATAGAAGAGCTTCATAACAAATCTTAATGAAGTGACAGTTTATAAAAATACTTCCAAGTCAATGGTAACTGTTTACAAGAATTTTGACTGAATCCTCTAATGAATGATCCTTACCACTTTTACTATACTTTGCCTCAACTCGTAAGAAATGATTAGAAAAAGTAACAAAAAGAGGAACTTACTTCACCATTATCCCATTGATAACAACCCCATGCATTACGCTTTCCATCAAAAACTCCACCTTCAAACAAATCTTCATTTAACCAGTCTTTCACTTCTCTATAATAATTTGTACCTTTTGTTGTAAAATTATCGTCAACATCAGTATTTGCATTGTCTAAGAAGTAGTTGCTACTGTGATCTTTTGATTGGTAGTTGGAGTTTTCCTTTGGAATATCATGAAATACATCACTTTTATATGAGCTAGTACCAATATGGAATATATTGCGATCAACGTAAACAGCCATTCACACAATAAACTAAGCTTTATCAAAAACGTTTTAACAAAACATCAGATGCATATGGTATGATTTATGCCAAAGTTAAGCTAAAAATAGATAGAAATGTTTCATGCATAATATATTTACTTCATACAGAAAAGTTACTGCAAATACAAAAGAAAAGAATCAAATTAAAATTAGACTATGTTAAGGAAGTTTTATGGTAAACATTTATAATTTGATATTTTCCTCCAAATTCTTTGGTAAAATAACGTTTTGCCTGTTAAAACTCACTGTGAAATAAAGTTTACATTCAGAAATAAGTATTTTGTCACTTTGAGACCAGAAAAATAAATTGGCCATATGACGAAACTATTAAATCCATACAAAAGCACATGGAACCGACTTGAAACTTTTATCAAATGGTAACAAAAGTCACTAGTTTGAATGTAACCAAGCGGATCATAATTCGATTAGCCTAACTGAAACGTGATACGTTTAAACATCAACATTTATTCAAAATTAGGATTGTCATCTAGTATTAAGTACTTATTCGCATCAAATGCCCGTTCCTGCCTAAATTTTTCTATGGTAAAACTCTTGATTGAGGTTCTGAATAAAGGAAATCATATTTACCAAAACGATGTTATTTTTAAACATATCTTCCGAATCACAAATTATCAATCAAGTGGTGGCTTACTGATCAGATTACTCGGTATTGTATAAGTAGACCGTACTTTTGTAATATGATTCTGTCTCGACAGCTGGGTAGTTTTGATCTATCCCAACATAATATATTAGGAACAAAGTCGGTTTAAAAGTGATTTCTTTTATTAGAACATTTTTTAAAAACACCACAGCAATATCAAATAGAAAATCGTTTAAAACTAGACAAAACCAGACAAGTGCTTTATTCATTAAGAAACTGTACTCAATTCCTTAGAACCACAATTCTCAATTAAATTGCTGATTTACTAACTAACCGTCTACATATTGTTACTTTACTCAAGTCGCGACAAAATGATTGACATACGCTTTTATTGGCCGCCCAGAATAAGTAAAGATACTTGTCTAATACTCTATTTCTGAATAGTTTCCCGCATTAAAAACCACCTACATGAACCATTTTGTAAAGTCAGTATCGTATTTTACTACTTAACTGCCTTAACTTTGTAAACTTTGAGTACTTTTATTATTTCACTATGGGGTGTAACTAGCAGAATTATTGTACAATTAAATGTTTCGTTCTATGTGTTTAATTCTATCACAATGAAAAAATAATGGCCCATCCCCGCTACTTCAAACTTGACTTCTTGATTCCGTCATATTAAAGTCTCAGATTGATTACATTTCGTGAAACTAATATTTATCCCTGGTTATTCTATTGTTGGGGTTCACAACAAATCGAAAAATGTGTTTGAAGCTGTAACAAAACTATTCACTTTCTCCGCTTTACTTTCGCCCTCTAGATATTTCCTATATAAAACAAGTTAGGTCATAAGAGTACCTTCCATTTACATAATCTGACTCTAGAATATTCACGCCTGCTTTTCTTAAATTTCGACCTACACAGTTAGTGGCTACGTACGATTTGCGAAAATTCAACCTAGAGAAATAATTTAATTACTATTTGGTAGATAGTCCATAGTTGTCAAAAATCATATGAGAAACCATTTATCGTACATTCAGAATAATAAAAATTAATCAATTTGAATCATTCGAAGCATTGTTTAAAGCGAGCGAAGAACATAACGTGGCCAAACTTCTGTCATAATGTGTTGGTTAATCATGATAAACTAAACGTTTTAAGAGCCTTAATCCGGTTGTTGTTACTGGGTTTTCTGGTCTTACCCTGAACTTCATACAATAAGAAGCTTTTGAATGTGATTAACTCTTTGATTAGCCTATTCGACGCTTTCCAAAGGATAACTAATCAAAGCATGTACTAATGTCTATATTCAAAAGGACTTAAGACTTAACTTTAAATGACAAACTACATGGAAATGAAAACCAGAGTGAACCAAAGCAACGTAACAGCTATCGGTCTATATAGTAGTAGGTCTTAATGTAAACGGTGTGAGTGCTCAAAGATTATGTTTGATTAGTTGACAAATTACCAGATTTAAGTTGTCTATTGTACCATCTCTATCAAGTTTAATATTCAACAACAATCGCGTTTCAGTCAAGAATTCAGAATTAAGGCTAAAGATAGAATTAGTTTACAGAGAATGTTAAACTTACAAAAAGAAGCACCTTCAAACCACAAAATTCTGTTCTGGGCTCTTTCACATATTTCGAAGTATATGTTACTCAAACAATTTTCACAAAAATTTAGTTTTAGAACAGGCATACAACACAAATCCAAATCAAATTAGCATTACACATGTCTTTAACTTTGAAAAACAGACTTCTTTCTTGCGTCATATAACTCTGAATTATCTAACTTAAGACTTCAGATAATACCATTTTCATTTGTGTGTGTTTCACAAAGCCAATACCGTGTTAAACGGTGGCAAACAGAACAAAGTCTTCTATTCGTTGAGCCACACGTTCTTATTTTATAGGTGAGTATATAAATGTCAAGATGAGCGATCAAAAGCATCAACACGTTCATATCATATATACAAGAAAAGCATTAGCCTTTCAGTGTATACTGAGAGACGCGTCAGTTCTTAAAGTCATTTTAAAAAACGTTTTGTACTTGTTTTATCAACCAATTTAGTTTATTCCTGGCAAATATCTGACTTTTATCGGGATTTTATACATGTTTCGTAACTTGGAGTAATTTTTGGACTAGTTTCGGTGTGAAAACATTTCTAACTGCGGAAATAAACTAGAAATAACGAATTGAGAAACGGAAAAATATATAACAGGTTTCCAACAAGATGTTTCAACACTAAAATACCCAACGGAACTTATAATTCCGCGTTCTGTTGTTATGACTTTGAAGGTGGTAATTAAATATCCAATACCCAGCATGTTTGTCACGAACTTGTTGTTGGTACAGTACGGTTTCAGGTATCTAGCATCGCCTAATAAATGGTAATCTCACCGCTTTACTTCACTAATTTTAGTCAATATGGTAGTTACTTGTGAACATGTACATTTTGTATTTCGAGTGCGTGCGTTTGTTTCAGGATCATAGGAATCCTGGATACCAGCAGCTATCACTGTACGAGGCAGGAGTTTGGCTGGTTGAAATGTTAAAGTAGTTAACTGATAATTCAATCGCGAACCAGATTAGATCAGACGATCCTCGACATGTTGATAGCCTATCAAATATATCTTCGAACCTCCTCATTTCTGTCTTTTGATTTCACATGGTGGGTACGCTTCATATTAGAAGGTGTTACTGGTTAGAGCGTTGTTAAACTCCGAATACCTGTGGCATCTTCGGTCACTAGAACGATACGCTTACGAAACGAAACGAAGAATTCATTCTTTCTACATTTTTCACCTCAAAGTTTTCAACAGACTTCTCTGTTTAGTTTGATCTACAATGTCACTCATCAGAACTACATGTGGATTGTTACAGTGTATTAGGATTCAGTCAATTAAAGTGAAGATCATCTATGAGGCAATAATTCGAAATAGTGTCTGTAGATTTCGTCTTGTATGTTTCCATGTGAACGTGTAGGGAAAACAACATATAAATTTTTGTCCTGTGATTGTTACATTGTTCTCTTTTATATGCGTATTTGTGTGTGTTATATCCGGAGACCACGCTGATTTAACCAAACCTTCCCAAGATTTTGCCAGTTACGACTCCTTACTTGGTCATTTACAGAGAAAAATCTTGCTAAAGAACGCCAACGAGACTGAACAAGCCAAACTATCGAATCTCTGTAGACCGAGTTGAAAGAAGAAATATGAAGCCCCACGATGAAAGCTGAGATTCCTCTAAAGTAACTAGGCCGATGTTCTTTCTAGCAACCAAAGCAATGATTTATATATTTGCACAGAATGTCCAGACATTGTAGGAGATTGGGAGGACCTGTCAAATACCAACGGAAATTAGGAGATAAAACATGACAGTTCTCAGAATAAGCGAAACCCACTGGACCAAAGCTAGATAGTCTCTTTGAAATGCTCTTCGATGCATTTAATAACCTGCTCAGGTTACATCCTGGTTGTTTTCATTGGTATAAAATCTTGTAACTTATTTTGATGTCATATAATGAACCGCGCATTATTTGTCAAATACTTTTTATCGCAAGGATGATTGTGGATTATCTCGGATGGAGCTATTATGTACTGGTTGAAATCACACAATAAAGGAAAAATGGCTTGCCAACCGGCATAATTTGATCCATAAAGAAGTGTGCATAGTAACTGTCATTTACACTTTCATTCTAACCATGGCCCTCCAGCATCCTTTTATGTCTAAAACAGCAGACATACACGACATAATGGTAGTGGATTTTCCGATTTCCATTGTCCAGCTACAATTCACACAAAACAAAATCCATCCAAGTCATCTAATAATGTTATATGGTATGTTTTCGAAAACGAACCATCTGCAATAAATTGATAGTGCCTCTGATTTGGTCCCAAATTTCCATATACCTGGGTCCCATAATCTTTTCGAATACATCACTTGTATCTACAGCAAGTTGACACTAAGTATTAGTTCGACTCGGCGGAAGGTTATTCATAATAATGAACAGAAGAACGGACCGGATATCGTTTGCTTTCATTGCTTTCGATAACATCATAGATGACACTTAAAACCACCATGCGTCAGTCAGAAAACCCCAGGCGTCAGCAAACTTTATGTTGGAACTTGTGGCCTGTGTGCCCTGTTAATGGATAAGTATTGTTACCACCAATTAGAGAACAGTGATTTATCAACTAGATCAATGACGCATAAAAACAAGTACGAGTAGTCTAGAGTGTTTAGCAATCCTGCTTCCCACCTCACCCTGCCTGTTGGAGTCCAGAACACTAATCTCAGCCTCTGCAATATTAATCACTTATTTCAAGCATACTGGGTTTATATATCAATCAGACAGACCACATCGTACCGTAAAA